AGTGTTTGCACTGCGGCCGGTTTAAGATGCTGCCCTGCTACTGCTTTTGAAAAGAAGGCCGAGACCATTACAGGGTCTCAGTGTGGTTAGACGCCGCCTGCCTGGCTCCTCCCGGCCATATTTGGAAGTGGCAGTCCCATTTTCTTTGCTCAGTTACCAGGCTGTCGCCATGGAGAGCTGTTTGTTTAGCAGGACAAACATTTTCTCGGGATTAGGGCAGGCTGGCCTCGGGGAATTGGCAGCGGCGACCAGGAAGCAGCAAGCGTGTTTTGGTGCTGGGTCCTGCTGACGGAGTAGGCGGTGTCGTCCCTGTTACGTAAAGTCGTCCCTGTTACGTAAAGTCGGAGAGCAGGCAGACCGGAACGTGCTGGGAGAGTCCAGCTCAGGCGCCCCAGGTGGGGTGGCCGAGAGGGTCGCCGGGGCCCTGCCTCGAGGTCTGGAGGCTGGTCCTTGGCTGGGTTCCGTTTGTCAGCAGGCTTTCTGGCAACTGTTTTATTGCTGATAAAAACAGTGGTCGCGGGATGTGATTAAGGAGCTCTGGTGGCCCAGTGGTTAAGTCATTTGGTTGCTAACCTAAAGGTCAGCTGGTTTGAACCCACCAGTCTCTGTGGGAGAAGGATGTGACAGTCTGCGTCCATAGAGATCGACAGCCTTGGACGCCTATGGAGCAGTTCTGCTCTGTCCTGTAGGATCACGGGGGTCGGAGTCAGCATGATCATCAGCGTGATGGTCATTTTCCTTAAACATCATGGCTTTGGGCTTTTGAAGTGAGTAAACTGTACACTGATTCCCACCAGGAAGTTCACTTTCCCCTTTGGCTCCATGTGTCGAGCAGGCTTTACCAGTCCTAGTGGGTTTGGGGACTGGGCCCAGGCTGGTCTTTTGTTTCTGTGTGTGTGTGAGTGTGCGTGTGTCTGTACATATATGTTTATATGTGTGTGTGTATGTGTGTATATGTGCACATGTGTGTACATGTGTGTGTGCGTGCGTGTGTGTTTATTTTTCCCTGTTATTTGGAAAGCACTAATCCAGAGGAATGTGGGGAGGACTGTGCCGTTGCAGCTGCTGGCCTCTCCCCCCAGGCCCCCCACTTCCTCCCCTCCTGTGTTACTGTGAAGCCTATTCCAGACTCTGACCTCATCCCAAGCTGCCCTTTCTAAATGTGCCTCTGTCCAGTTGAGGCACCCTTGCTACACAAGGTGTGGCCAAGAGACCAGAGCCAGGGCTCTGACGTCTTACACCTTCCCTTGGCTGGGCCACCCTCCAGGCTGGTGGAGCTGGACATCTCTGAGGGCCAGCAAGGGGGCTTCGAGGGTCAGCAGGGCTCATGCCCAGAGGCTGCCCCTTTCAGCAGGCTGCCCTCCTTGCACCCCTCCATGAAGCACAGGTTCCTGGGTCTCCACACTGAGGCCGTCCTGGCCTGCAGGGGGCGCCCTCACATCTCCAGAAGGCAGGAGGCCAGGCCTGCTCTCCTTGGTTTTACCAGCTTGGACAGTGAGACGGGAGACGGGCCGTTGGAGCCGTCGGTGGCGTTAAGCAGTGCATTTCCTGGCGCGTGAGGATTCAGATGGGTTTGGTTTAGTTTGTGGTTTCACGTTTCGGCCACTCTCGCCTGACTGTCATCTGGGGGAAAAGGTTCATATTCTACCTGAGGTGGTCTTGAGGCACCAGTATGTTGCATCCGGACGGGTTTCCAGGGGCTAGAGCCCTGTGGGGACCGGGAACTGCGGCGGACAGTCCAGGGGCGCTGCCTCCTTCCGCCAGCTTGTCCCCGCTGCCTGGGTGGGAGCCTGCACCGAGCTGTCCGTCCTGCGGGGACCAGCCAGGGCAGCTTCTGAGGTGGTGACCGACTCAACGTGCTGCTCGCTGTGCCCCGTGGTGGTTAGTGGTGGTCACCAAAGCTCCTGTTGGTGGGACACGTACTGCATGCTGGGAGGCAGATGCTGCTGCCACCCCCATCGTAGCGCTGGGGAAGCCAGGGCACAGGGATGGTAGGGAACTTGTCCAACATCACACAGCCAGGAAGTAGTGGAACCCAATGGAAACCCCAGCCACCCAGGGGCTGCTCACTGAACCCCGCTGCTGCTGCCTCTGTTCGCCATGCCAGTGTCACTGAAGACAGGACCACTGCTTGTCTGGGGGAGCGGCAGGACACGGTGGGCAGTGCCCAGATGCTGGGGGCACAAGAGTGAGAGAATGCCCTTGACCCCCCGTCGACAGCTCTCCCCTTAAAGGTCTCCTTTCTTCCACCTCGCCCCTAGGCTAGTCCTGATCGAGTGGAAGTCAGGGCTCACACAGACCTCTGCAGGACTCCCCGTCACACTCAGAATCAGAGCCAGGGTCCGGCTCTGCCGGCGAGGAATGCCGCGGTCTGGCCCACCACCACTCCGAACCCTCCTGCCCTCTGCCCCAGCCTCGTTATTTTTCTTAAACAGGTTAACTGCTCACCTGCCTCAGGGCCTCACCATTCCCTCTGCCTCAAGCACCGTCCCTCCAGCGTCCTCCCGACTCCCTCACCCCAGCTCTTAGTCCGGGTCCCCTTGAAGGTGGAACCTGCGGTAGGGCCCGAGCCCAGGGTGGAAGGGGCAGAAACAGACTCAAGGGGATGCAGAGGTGCTGGCCCCGCCTCACAGAGGCCTCGGCTGGCCGCCCAGCCCCGTGGGTCTCCTCAGGACAGCGGTCAGGAAGGAAGGGAAGAAGCACGTTTCCTGCCGTTGGTTCTTTCCGGCCCCTCACTGTTCCACACGGGTTTGTGCACACGGATGAGCATTCCCGTGGAGCTGATTCCAGACGCGGAAGGCCGTGCAGGTGGCCATGTTGCTAATCAGAAAGCCAGACCTGTTGCCTGGGGTCAACGCTGACTCGTGGTGACCCCCGTGCGCAGAGTAGAGCTGCTCCAGAGGCCTGCCTTCCGAGGCGCCGGCGGTGGCTTCAACCCCGACCTGGTGGCGAGCAGTCAGCTGCTGAGCCTTTAGTGCCATGCACGCCTCCCAGTCTTCCTGCAAGAGGCTTCCCTCTTCCACCAACGTGGGATGCCACCCCCACCGGAAGGCACACGCCGTGGCATTTCCTGGTGGTAAGAGGTTGGACGTCTTCCTGAGCTCCCAGACCTTCGTGCTCCGCTTCAGGGACAGTCCCTGCATCCTCCGCACGGCGTCTCTCCCCACAAGGCAGTGCCTCGCGTTGTGTGGAAGTAACTGGAACTCGCCAGTGTCGGGGAGGCCGCGGCAGGGGCTTGTCCTTTGCTTTCTCACTGGAGTTGGAGCGATGCTGGCGTTTCAGGTTCCGTGTGATTCGGGAGATCGGTGCGCTCCGACAAACCACCCAGGCGCCTCCTCGCTGAGTCCCGTCCCCCTCCGGCCACAGGCTTTGCCTCCCGGAGCTGTGCCAACGTCATCTTCTGACAACTCAGTGTTGCAGAGACACCCGGGACGCGTAGGACTTTTCCGGCCCTGGTGTTTCCTCTTCGGTCCTGTTCGGTGTGTTTGTTGAACCTGTTTGGGTGCCCGTAGGATTTTCTGTATCCGTGGAAATACAGCCCTGCCTGGGGTGTGGCTGGCTGTTGGCCTCTGCGACACAATCTTGCCTGGCGCTCAGGTGCCCCCGGTCAGCAGAGCGAACCCGCCTTCAGCTCAGGAGGGTTCCTTCACGCGTGGCCCTGGACGTGCTTTCTGTTCCATTGTTCTGCCTTCGTCTTCGGGAAGAGCTCTTATCTGCAGGGAGAGGCTGGCTTTTCTCCATCCCTCCCTCGCCTCGGGTTTAGTCTCCGTCTTTCTCCTTTGCATTTTCATTGTGTTTTTTTCATTCTGCTGAACATATGCTCCAGCAGACACCCACGATCTCGACAATTCCACGTGTCCAGTTGGTGACACTCTTTGACTTGTGCACCCATTGTTGCTGCCCCGTGCCAAGTTACTCTTCTACCATCAGCATAAACTCACGGCCCCACAGCCAAAACGCCCCTTTCCCCTCCCTCCTGCCCCCGGTAACCACTAGTCATCTTTGGTTTCTGTGTATTTGCGTATTTCGTGTAAGTGAGGTCGGACCGTGTTTGTCCTTTGGTGGCTGGCGGGCCTCGCTCAGCAGGACGTTCTCACGGTTTGCCCGTGTGTGGGCGCGCCTCTGGGCTTCACTTCCCTCTGGCCGATAGTGTTGCATGTGCCTCTGGACCACGTTCTGAGGAGCCACTCGTGTTGGTGGACGTCCCTTTGCCTTTTAAAACCATCGTCCCACGTCCTCCCCAGCACCGACTTCGTTCCTTCACTGCTGACTCTGAACTCTGTCTTCTAGTCTCTGCCCTCTTCACTCCTCCTCCGTGCTATGTCATGGAGTCCACCTATTCCTGAGTTTTTTCCCCGGATGCAAGTAGATGCTGCCCTGAATGTGCCTCTGTGTTGTGGGGCCATGTTCATCTTGTCTCTGTTGCATGTCTTTGTAGAAGCGGCACACTGGCTGTTTCCTGTTTATTGATTCGTGAACAAGGGAAGGTTTAGTCAGACCTGCTGCATTCCAGAGCTGCCGCTGTGGGTTCTTCAGGGTTCCGGTTCCCTTCACCCCGACGCCGCAGAAGGACCTCGAGCTGGAGAGGTGAGGTGTAGGGTTGTGCTGAGCTCAGCACCCAGTCACCTGGGCCCAGTGGCTGGGATTGCTTCCCTGTGAGTGTGGCCCCGTGTTGACATGCTGGGGTGGCTGCCACGGTCACAGGGTTTTCGTTGGCCATTGTTTTGGGAAGTCTGTGGCCAGGCCTTTCTCCCTAGTCTGTCTTAGTCCGGAAGCTCGGCTGAAGCCTGCCCACCGTGGGTGACCCTGCTGGGATTTGAAACATCGGTGGCCTAGCCTTCAGCACCCCAGCACCGTGCAAGCTCCCACAGGGCCACAGAGTGACAGACGGGTGGGAACGTTCAGTGGGGAAGCCACTTGACCACTGCAGGGCTGACCTTGCACACTCCTTTTTAATGCTGAAAACCTTTCTCGTTGGCCAGCTGAATCAAGGAGCCCCGATGAATGGCTACACTGAATTTTCCCCCAGCCCCAGTGACCCCTCCAAGGATGTGCTGAAGCCTGAGCCCAGCCGAGCCCTGCTCCAGGAAGACGTGGAGATGAGCAGCGGCTCCAACGGAAATGAATCCAATGAGAGTTGCTCCCCAGGGCAGGGCAGCGACTGGGATGACACCAAGGGGCTGGGAATGCTGGGGGAGCCGCCAGACGCCCACCAGGGGTAGGTGCCGCCGCTGGCTGCGTGGGCAGGCGGGGGGCGTTGCTCAATAGAGTTCTTCTCCTTTGTAAGGTGGTTGGTCTTCTGACCTTTAAATCCTGTTCCCAAGTCTTTCAGGAGCTTTGGAGACATTACTGCTCACATAGCTACACTTCTAGGGTCTGTCCTTCCTTAGAAGTCGCCATGTGGCGTGAACAGTGAACATGCTCGCCTGCTAACTGAAGGGTGGGAGGTTCAGTTTCACTCAGAGGCATCTCAGAAGAAAGGGCCACGAGTCTGCTTTCAGAAACTCAGCCATTAAAACCTGTGGAGCGCAGTTCTGCTTGGACACACGTGGGGCGCCGTGAGTCAGGATCGACCCCACGGCCGCTGACTTGTCCTTCCCGCCGTGTGTCTGTCCGTGTGTCACGCTGTGGTGGCTGGCGTGTTGCCGTGACGCTGGAGGCTATGCCACCGGTATTTCAAATCCCAGCAGAGCCCCCCGCGGTGGACAGTTGTCAGTGGGGCTTCCAGACTGAGACGGACTCGGAAGAAGGGTGTGGCTCCACTTCTGAGAAATCAGCCTTATGAGTAGCAGGAGAGGGCTATTCAAGATGAGCCCTCAGGTCGCAAAGCACTCAAGATAGTCAGGAAGAGCTGCCTCCTCAGAGTAGAGTCAACCTTAAGGACCTGTGTTTGCTGGTGGCACCATGACTCAAAATGAGAAAAATATAGCTCCAAACATCCATTAATAATCACAAGGTGGCATGTATGAAGCATGAATTTATGAAGTTGGAAGTTGTCAAAAATGAAATGGAACGCAAAAAGATCAATTTTCTAGGCCTCAATGAGCTGAGATGAACTGGTCAGGTGTCAGACAGGTCTTGGCTAAAAGCACAGGATTCAGAAAGGTGTTTATCTGTGTTTCATTGACTGGGCAAAGGCATTTGTGTGGATCATAACAGATCATTGACAGCATTGAGAAAAACAGGTATTCCAGAATGCTTACTTGTGCTCACCTGTACATAGACCAGGAGGCAGTTGTTCAGACAGAAGGGGACACTGTGTGGTTTAAAATCAAGAAGGGAGTGTGTCAGGGTTATCTCCTTTCACCACACTTATTCATTCTGTGTGCTGAGCAAATAATCTGAGAAGCTGGACTACATGAAGAAGAATATGGCATCAGGATTGGAGGAAGGCTCATTAACAACCTGCGTTATGCAGATAGCACAACCTTTCTTGCTGAAAGCAAAGAGGACTTGAAGCCCTTACTGATAAAGATCAAAGACTACACCTTCAGTATGGATTATAGCTTGACAACATAAAGAAAACAAAAAGCCTCACAACTGTATCAATAAGCAGCATCATGATAAATGGAAAAACATTGAAGTTGTCAACAATTTTGTTTACTTGCATCCACAGTCAGCACCCACGGAAGCAGTAGTCACAAAATCAGATGTCACACTGCACTGGGCAAATCTGCTGCCAAAGACCTTAAAATTTTAAGAAGCAAAAATGTCGCTTTGAGACTAAGGTGTGCCTAACCCAAGCCATGGTATTTTCAGTCGCCTAATACGCATGCGAAAGCTGGACAGTGAATAAGGAAGACCGAAGAAGAATTGACGTCTTTGAATTGTGGTGTTGGCAGAGGATAGGGGCACACCGTGGACTGCCAGAAGAACAAACAAACCTGTCTTGGAGGAAGTCCAGCCAGAAAGCTCCTTGAAGGCAGGGGTGATGAGACTTTGTCTCATGTACTGTGGGCGTGTTCTCGGGAAGGACCAGGCCCTGGGGAAGGGCATCGTGCTTGGTAGAGGGTCAGCTGGAAAGAGGAAGCCCCTCAACGAGATGGGCTGCTGCAGCGGTGGCACCAACACAGCGAGGCGGAGGGTGGCGCGGTGGGGTTGGTTCTGTCGCCCGTGGGATCGCTGTGAGTCGGAGCACCCAGCACCCAGCAACAAGGCCGGCCCGTCTGTCAGCCTTGAACATCGGACGGCCAGTGTAACATACTTAGTGCCTGTGAAGGGCTCTTTGGGGTGGGGAGTTGGGTGAGCCTGCTGACAGCTACTTCGGCTGTTGTCACTCATGGTGTCGTGTTATGGAGCCGGCTGTCACCAGCTGAGCCGAGGGGAGGAGGGTGGCGTCTTTGTCCTGTGGGTGGTGCTGTGACCTCTTGTTTCTTGCAGCCCGGGGGCCTTTGGCCTGATGATGGCCACATCTGCACAGAACCTGTCCACGAGTGGCTGCAGGTAAGGCCAGTCAGTCAGTGTCGTGGCTGCTCAGCTGCCTGGCTCCCGGCGGCCCCGTGTGCTACACAGCAGACCTGCTGCGTCATTTGCAGGCGTTACTGGTGGAGAGTTTTTGGGGCGATGTGATTTTTCTTTTTAAGCTTCTACTAAAACGTTCGTCTGCACAGCTGTCTGCTGGGGACACAGCGTCCCCTGGCCCTTCCCAGCAGCCCTGGTGCTCGGCCGGCCCCCACGCCGGGTCCCGCGGCTGTTCGGACCCATGGTGTCGCTCCCGTGTCCTGAACACCTCCTGGGCCGCCTCTCTCCCAGCTCTGCCCAAACAGCCCTCACCTGAGTCTCAGACACACCACCCCAGACCGTTCCTCACCCCCTGAGTGTTCGAGCCTACTTTGTCCTCATGTCCACAGACACGTTCATGTTCCCACTGGGGCGAAATTCAGCTCTTCATCTTGCCCATCGGGCACTTGGTCCCGAGACCTGTTTTTCCCATCACCCTCTCTGCACCCTGATCAAAGAGGACCCCACCCATCAGCCGGAGCCATCTGGCCTGTCTTCCTTCCATTTCCTGGTGTCCGCACCATGACCATCACCTCAGAAATCCCCCACCCCCTGAGATCTTGGGCTCAATAGGAATGTTCTTGTCGGGGCAGTGACTTTGCTGTCCTCTGCACGGGGTCCCCTCAGCCCTTTCCAGCTCAGTGATGCCCATGTGAATATTAGACAGGGAGAGGCAGGTGAGGCCCACTGCAGGGGGCTCTCGGCCCCCAGAGGAGGCAGCGGGGCCACTGCCTGCATGGACAAGGGACTTCTTGGGGTGCAAAGCTGCACTTCAGCCTAAACTGCAGCTGTTGTGCCCCCCAGGGCCATCTGACAAAGTCTGGACACTTTAGGCTGTCCCAGCTAGTGGGACACCCGGGGGTCAGAGGTCAGAGGTCAGGGGTGCTGCTCAGGACTCTTCAGCACCGCCTGCAGAGAAGGGCCAGCCCCGGACACGAGGTGGCCGGCGCTCACGTGGCCTCTGCCTCTGTCTCCTAGCAGCGAGCAGTCCAGCAAAGCGGATGTGCACAGGGAGCTGATCAAGACCCTGAAGGAGCTGAAGGTCCACCTCCCTGCGGACAAGAAGGCCAAGGGGCGGGCCAGCACGCTGGCCACACTGAAGTACGCCCTGCGGAGTATGAAGCAGGTGAAAGGTAGGCACCGAGCGTTCATCCAGACCGGCAGGCGCCAGCTCCACCCCCCAGTCAAGCTCGGAGCACACTGGCTCTCTAACCCTCCTTTTGAAGCGGCAGTTGAGATGGTCACGTGCTCAGCCGCTGCAGCGGCTCTGGATGCGGAAAGCTCACCAAGTCCAGAGGAGGTTCCAGCCCTGCCCGCAGCGTGCTCCCGGCCCTGCCCACAGCGTGCTCCTGACGCTGGCCGCAGCGTGCTCCCGTGAGAGTGGTCATTGTCAGACCCTGCAGAAGGCTGGCTGGGGCCCCCGCCACAGCTCAGGAGGGGTGCACAACACAGGAAGGGCGCGTTGGGCAGGTCAAGGGTCAGACTCCACAGTGTGTCCTGCGCTCTTCTGCAGTGAGGGCTTGTCCCACAGCCTGAGCAGCGCCTTTGTCCTGTAGGACAGGCCCCACAGATGCAGAGACAGGCTTTGTCACCCCAGAGCCCCTGGGCACACCAGGCCGAGGGGCAGACACACAGTGTGGCTCCTGGGTATATAGGCTGAGGGGTGCACGTGGTGGCCCCATCTCTAGATTCTGTCCTAAAGGATTCATGTCAAGTGTGGTGTCTCAGGCCTCATATTTTCTTAAACAGCCAATCCTGTGGTGGGAGGTGAGCAGCGAGGGGTCAGGTAGGAACTGCTGGGGTTCCTCTCTGTAGTGCCTGGGCTGCAGCCCAATTGCAAACCCTGATGGAGAAAGTAGAAGTCAGGTAGAACTCAGTGGCTATATCACTTAAAATGGTTTGTCATTAAAGAAAAAAAAATCTGTGGTCAAAGATCTTCCTACTTTGAAGGCAAGCTCTCCTGACTTGGGTGTGTCTATTTTGCCATCATGTCTCTGGCCCAGGAGGCTAGCGTGGACATCCCCCTTCTCACCCCAGGTAGGCTGCGCCCTGGGTCCCCGCAGCTCTCAGCCCCCCATGGTCCGTGTGCTACTAACGGGGGGCCATTTCCCTGCAGCAAACGAGGACTATTACCAGCTACTGATGTCCAGTGACAAGCCCCCATCCCTGGACGTGCCCGCCTACACAGTCGAGGAGATAGAGAGCATGGCCTCCGAGCACGTCGTGAAGAACACGGTATGTGCCTCACCTGCCAGCGGCTCCCCACCCAGCATTTGGCTTGTGAACGGTTCTTCCTGCGGGAGAGTGGCCGAGCCACTGGCCGGGGCGCTAGAGCAGGGAGGGTCGGCATTACAAGCAATGGCCACAGGCCTCAAAAAAGGGAGGTCAGTTGCAGAAGTCACAGCCCTGGCTCAGGTGCCCCTCCCTCTTGTCCGTGGCCTGTGCTTCCTCAGCTGGCTGACTTGGCCCCGTGCCCGCTCCCCAGGTGTCAGGGACGGGCCTCACCTCGGCTGAGCTGGGGTCTCCATCTCTCGTGACTGCCCAGCACGGTGGGGCAACCAGTTGACCTTCTGTCCGCTTGTCTGGGTCTTCATGGTCATGTGTGGGGGGCAGGGGTGGGAACCCAGCTTTGTGGCGTAGCAAGCTGGCTGGGGTGGCCTCACACACACACCTCTGCCAGCCCATCTCCACAGGCACAGGGAGCCGGCCAGGGCAAGGGGGCCCCCTGGCAGAGTCAGGTGCCAGGCCAGGTGAGTGTGGGCAGTGGACGGCTTCCCCTTCCATCCCCGAGTCACCCCAAGTTGGAGGCTGCGGGGCTGTGTCCCTAACGTTGGAGAGCAGCCCCTGGCGGGAGACAGAGCCAACATTTGCCTGTGCCGGGCCCTTTATGCTTCCTCAGAGGTCGCATCCAGGCCTCAGCGCGTGTAGCAGGGAGGTCGTTACTCCGCGGCCCCTGGTGGCACAGAGGCGGAAGTGCTCAGCTGGTCACTGAGGGGTTGGAGGTTCAGGTCCACCCAGGTGCCTTGTGGGAAAGCTGGTGACCTGCTTCCAGAGGGTTCCAGGGGACACAGTCCCACTCTGACCCCATGGTGGCCAAGAGTTCAAGTCACCGCGGTAGTGACGAGTAGAAGTGTTGCTGTCGAAGCTGAAGAGAGGCCTAGAAACCTGACGCTCCACCAGGCCCCTGGGTCGAAGCTGAGGAAAGAGGCCTAGAAACCTCACCTGATCATAAGGCCACTTTGGTCAAAGCTGAGGAGAGCGCCCAGGAGCCTGACCGTGAGGCCCTTTGGTCAAAGTGGAGGCTAAAGGCCTAGAAGCCCAGCCTGACCCTCCACAGCCCGGGGTTGAAGCTGGCTTTCTAGGGCCCCTGCACCTCATTTTCAAGCCCCTGTTCCCCTCAGGAGCCAAGTACAGACTGAATCTCAGTAGGGTTTGAACATTTAGGCCTATCCTGCCCTGTATCCAGCGGCCCCCTTTTCCTTCCAGGATATGTTCGCTGCGGCTGTGTCCTTGGTAACGGGGAGAATCCTGTATATCTCAAACCAAGTGGCGTCCATCTTTCACTGCAAGAGAGCCACCTTCACCAACGCCAAGTTCGTGGAGTTCTTGGCGCCTCATGACGTCAGTGTGTTCCGCAGTGCCACCACTCCATACAAGCTGCCATCCTGGGGCACCTGCGGCGGGACAGGTCAGACCCCAGGGGACTTGGGGGCTGGAGGGCTGGGGGTTGGTGACAGGGAATAACCAGGCCCCCACGCGAGGTGCCAGCTCTGCCCCTCCCCTCTGCAGGGACACCCCAGAGCAGCGTCGGCTAAGAGCTAAAGTTGTCTGTCTCCAGAATTAACAGAGAGGAAGGGAAAGTCTCATCACCCAGTTCACAGGGAGGTCATCCCAGGGGGTTCTGACACCCATTAGACCGTGTTCAAAAGGAAGTTTGGCCTAAGAAGGTGGGGCCTGGATACAACCCCACGGAGTGTGGAGGTGGACTCAGGTGCCTCGGCTCTGACAGGCAGTGCCCCTTTGTGGCTCCAGGGACATGTCATGTGTCGCAAGATGTTGACTGTGAAGCCTGGCCTGTTCACAGTCTTGATCCAGAGCCCGTGGCCACATCCCGAAAGGCCCCGCCCCTCGTGCTGGCATAGGGTCGGCAATCTCCCCACCTCCTGGATCAGGGGCTCCCTCTCCCCACTCTGTCAGCCGTGGGAAGATCAGAGGAAGACCGTGCTCCACCATCTGCTCCACAGCTCCACCTGCCGACCGCCGTTGGCCTCAGGCTGCCTCATAAGAGGGGCTACAGCAGCTTGGGGCTTTGGCGATGGTACCACCAGCCCTTTGTCCCTAAGTCCCACTGGGAGGAGGGTCTGGCCAGACCACCCAGCTTGCCGTGCGCACCCCGAGAACCATGCGGCCAGCAGCAGGTCTCTGCAGAACGAGACCAGGAAGCTTCCCAGAGGCCCTTCCAGGCCTGTGCTCTGACTCCTGGCACCTGATGTTTCCACATGTCCCTTGAGGTCAGGAGAGGGTGTAAAAGTCACGTCTAAGTCAGAAGGAAGATCGGGCAATCTACTTCCATACCTCAGAAACCCAAGGAGGGGTCACTGAGTCGGGTTCAACTCAACAACAAACTCCGCTTCGAGGAGACTCCTACGGCAAGGAGATGCTCCTCCCCTTGACCCCCAGTTTCAGGAGGAAGGGGTGTCAACTTGAAGTGCCCTGGGTGTTTATACTAGAAGGGAATATCCCGAAACTGCATAGCTGGGAACATTTAGGGCTCGAGCCCTGGTGGTGCAGTGGTTACACTCTCCGTAACAAAACGCCAGTGAGTGGTTCAAACCCACCAGCCACTCTGTGGGAGAGAGATGTGGCAGTCAGCTTCTATAAAGATTAAAAACAAAAACCACCCCCACTGCCGTGGAGTCGATTCTGACTCACAGCGCCCCTAGGGCACAGGGTGGAACTGCCCACAGGGTCTCCAAGGCTGTATCTTTACAGAAGCTCATTCTGTCCCGTGCCCCTCTGTAGTCTGGTAGGAGCGCGGGCACTGTCTGCATTTGCTGGTTTAGTGGCAGCAGTGACTCGGGTCTCTGTCTTTCAGATTCTTTCCCTCAAGGATGCATGGAGGAGAAGTCCTTCTTTTGTCGCCTCAGGTAAGCCCAACCGCCAGGTTTCCTAAAGTAGATGGCACGAACATGCCCCAGTAAGTACCTTCTGAAGCCTGTGGAGCCCAGCGTGGTTAGCAGTTGCTGGCACGGAGCTGGCTGCACACTGCTCGCTTTGGGGTCTGGAATCCGCTGTGTGAGGAGATTGTAAGACATGCCCCTGCTGGGCAGCACGGACGTCCCCAGAGCTTGTGTGCAGACCTGCTTCCATAAGTTGCATTTTGAACATGCACAGACATTGGGAAGGCTTAGCAGTGGGCAGCGGGGGCGACGTCACCTGCACCGTGTGTATGGTGCTGGCCTGTGGAACCTGGGCACACAGTTGAGCTTTTATCAGGGGACCCACATTCCCTGAAAGCTCACGCAGCTGTCATCCACGTGGGTCCCGTTCTGGGGAGTCCTGTGGCCTCCTAGCTGGTCCTTGACCCCAGACAGGGTGATGACTGAGTATCTGCCACAGTGGCAGGAGTGACTCTGGTATCCTGCCTGCTGGGCCTGGGGCCTGGACTCTCGCTGTGGGACAGCACCCCTTCTGTGTGGTGCCCCAGCCGCAGTGCACACCCCTGAGTATGGGTACTGGAAGACCTCAGCCTTCCATGAAGAGAGACCCAGGCAGGCGTGGGCCCACTCCTCAGGGAGGTGGTGGCAGGACCTGGCCCCATAGTGTGGCGTGCAGGCTCTGGGGTGGAGGGCAGATGCCACAAACCCGTGGATGTCTGAGCAGTGACAGTGAAGGGCCGCACCTCGACGTAGACGTCCCGACCTGTTTTGCTCTTCTCTCCAGTGTTGGGAAGACCCACGAGAATGAGGTGCGTTACCACCCATTCCGCATGACGCCTTACGTGGTCAAGGTGCGCGACCCCCAGGGCCCTGCGAGCCAGCTCTGCTGCATCCTGTTGGCCGAGAAAGTGCACTCCGGCTATGAAGGTAACAGCCCGGCCAGCAGGGGGCGCCCAGGGTTCTGCCCGTGTGCAGGACTGTGGTCCCTGGTCCCATCTAGCAAACAAACCTCACGGGGACCCTGCACGTCACAGACTAGAGCTGTTCCCTAGGGTTCCCTTGGCTATCGTGTTCATGGGAGGAGGTCACCAGGCCTTTCTTCCAGGCACTCCTGGGTGGCTCTGACCCGCCAACCTTCCAGATGGTAGTAGAGTGCAAACCATTTGCCCCTACCCCCAGGACCGCCCCATCGATCTCATGTATAGAGACGATTTTAACTCCAGTTTTCTGGCCCCGATCACTCCCCTGACCTCAGACCAACTCTCTGTCATGGGGCAGGCCTCTCCTCAGTTCTCAGACCTCCTCCTTGTCCTGTGGACACTGGGCTCGTGCCCGTGCTGGCTGTGGCTGTGGCCCTGGGCCCCTTCTCCCCTCCCCAGCTGTCCGCCTCTCATGGCCGTGAGAACAGCCCTGGACAGGTGTGGCCTGCTCCCTCCTGTCCCTCCTCACGGCCACATGTCGGCCATACCACTCCTCCCCTGCTCCAGACCTCAGACGGGACTGTCCTCCCAAAAAGCACTGGGCCCGCAGCCTCCCTGGCTCCACGCGGACTTGAACACCCCCTGGGGTTGCCCACCGGCCTGTGGAGCCTTGGGCTCCGGGCCCCTTGGTGCTAGCATGGTGATCGGGTTCCGGCAGATCCTCCAGTCTGAGAGTAGGCAGAGAAGCCTGGCAGCCTGCTTCCCCACAGGTCTGATCCTGTTGGGCGTGGGGTCCCAGCAGTGTTGCCGGCTCACGGAGGCACTGTGACCACCATCAAGGAGGCGTCCCCGGGCTTCCCCGGTGTCAGTCCCCGTTGTTCAGAGTCCACTTTGTGGCTCTTTTCTTTAGCTACCCAGTGATTTCTAGCAGCAGTAACATGACTGGTCTGTGCACCCTTCTTGCCTTCAGCTCCTCGGATCCCTCCTGAGAAAAGGATTTTTACAACCACACACACACCAAACTGCTTGTTCCAGGACGTGGACGAAAGGTCAGCGGCCAAAGGCCACGTCCCTGCTGCTCCTAGAGTCAGTGTTTCTCCCTCGCCGTCCAGTGTGTCATCCTTAATGACAGCTAAACGGGGCTCGGGCTGGTGACGGTTTGGGCCGTGGAGCCGTGGGGTGAAGCTCGGCTGCACCTTGATTTCACCCACGTGATCAGGCTGCGCGTGCGCCTGCATTTCCCAGTTGCTGTCCAGTTCGCTGCGACTCATGGCGCCTCTGTGTGCGTCTGAGTCGACCTGCACGTCACAAGCTGATTTCTCACAAGTTGGTCTCCAGGCTTTCTGCTGAGGTTCCCCTGGGTGACTCGAACCCCCAACCTTTCAGTTAGTAGCTGAGTGTGTGAACTGTCTGTGCCACCCACGGGCTCCATTTTGCACTCGGGGGGCAAGGAAATAGTGTGGAATTACAAGAAGGCCGGCCTCCTGAGAGCTGAGCCCTGCGTGGAGGGACATCTGGAGGCTGAGCACTGTCCTCGTCCGGCTCGCCTTGATTTTCCTAAAGACGTTTACAAACCTGGGCCCAAGTGCTGGCCCACGCCCAACAGGACACGCCTGGGAGGCAGCGCCCCTGCCCGCTGTCAGCGGGAAGCTGGGGGTGCCGTCGGCAGATCCCGGCAGGATCGTGTTCTCCAGCTGCGTGTGGCCAGGCTGCTACGGGGAGGGCTCGCCTCCCAGCCCCGCACGAGGCTCAGCCAGGGTGCTGTGGACGGCCCTGAGGGCACTGGGGGCTGCTGGTCGGGGGGGCTGCCGGTTAGCTGGCTTAGGGCCAGGGCCTTCCCCGCGTGCCTCCTCCCGGCTCCTCCTCCGTGGAGAGCTAGAGGCATGAAGACGCTGCTGGCTGTGCACTGGCCGATCTCTGGGCAGTCGGGCCCAGCAGGCCAACCCCCTGCAGCGGACTCACCAGAGACAGGTTCAGGCAGCAGTGTCCTGAGCCTGCCCAGCCCTGCAGAGCCAGGGTCTCCAAGAGCGTGCACATGCAGCCCGAAGCCTGAGAACCACTCCCAGGCCCCCCGACCCAGGCGCTGTCTCACACGTGCAGGAAGGTCGATGTGCAGGTGCCTGGGGCGTTCTGGACCCTTCCTCACTAAGGCCCCCTGCAGGCAGCCCAGGACACAGGCCCAGCAGCCCGGCCGCCTGGGTCCAGCTGCCGCCTCCTCCCCTGGCCGCTTCCCTCCTTCTTCCTCCTCTTGTTCCTCACCTCCTTCCCCCCCACTCCTCTTCCCCACCCCCTCCTGTCCTCCCGCTACCCCCTACCCCCACCAGGCCTGACCTGGGAAGGCACCCACAACGTCATCGTGTGCAGCATGTCCAAAAGAAAGCACAGGTTGGGAGCAGGCTTCAGACGAGGGGGCGGAAGCCGGACCTGTGCCAGTCAGAGCCCATCCCAAGAGCAAGCGTGCTGGGCGCCAGCGTGCAGGGGCCCCGGCAGGCAGAACAGGGGTGCAAGGGCAGGTGCCAGGAGGTCCGGCTATTGGGGGATGATGGCCCCGGCCAAGAGCAGTGATTCTCAGAGCAAGAGCCGCCTGGAACACGGGAGGAGTGCTTCCTGGCTGGACAGCGAACGCAGGGTGGGACGCTCGGGCCAGATCTTAGAACACCAAAGAGGCAAAACTAGGATCTGGGTTCATCATTTCAGGAAACAACACATGACGCTGAAGCCCTTACGTTCTGACGCTCATGTCACAGCGTCCCAGAGCTGCTTCCCAGCCTCACAGACCTGAGGCCCCTGTGGTCCAGTTCCTAATTAGCTGGGCAGCTTCCTGTCTCTGAGCCTGGTCCCCATGGTGTGGTCTATGGAGATAGAGTCTGTTTCTCAGTGAGTGAGTGAGTGGTTCTTAGAGTCACTGGTGACAGAGGTGGTCAGCATTGTCAGTCGCTAGCCATAAGCTTCAAGTTCAAGTCCCTCCAGAGGCATCTCAGAAGAAAGCCCTGGTGATCTGCTTCTCAAAGATGGGCCATTGGAAACCCCGTGGACACAGCTCCGTGCTGGCGCACGCGGGGTCAGTGGGAGTCGGAGTCCCTGGGTGGCACAGAAGGTTGGGGCTGGCTGCTGCCTGGAAGGCCAGCAGTTCGTGTCCCCCAGAGGGGCCTCTGAAGAATGGCCTGGCGACGTCCCTCTCAGAGATCACGGTGACTGACAACCCTGTGTGCAGTTGCACTCTGACGGGCGTGGCGTGTCGCCGTGAGTGGGGCGAGTTTTTTGGTGAGGAGGGTGCTGCCCAGATCGGAAGCAGCACCGGAAGGGTCCTGCAGGGTAGACGTGGGTTGGGTGTCGGGGAGCACGGCCCCCCGGCTGACTGTCCCGTGTCTGCTTGCCTCCAGGGCGGTCCCCTTGCTGGGCTACCTGCCTCAGGACCTGGTAGAGAGCCCCGTGCTCCTGCAGCTGCACCCGAGTGACCGGCCCCTGATGCTGGCGGTCCACAGGAAGAGTAGGTCCTTCGGGGCAGACCCTGGGCTGGGGGGGCTCACAGCGTGAGCTCTCACAGCGTCTCCTGAGCAGCTTTGGGGACATGCACGAACCCACGTGGCCCCCAGCACCTGGTGGATGTGCAGGGGACGCCTCCCCGCCTGGGGTGCTGCAGCTGAGCCCCCAAACTCCAGGCGCTGACCCTGTGTGGGCTCCTTTGTGGCCATGGTCCCGCCCCAGCACCTCGTGCCCACTGTGGTTTCTGTTGGTGGGTGGGGGTGAGGAGAGAGGCCGTGGGCGACACAACCCCACCAAGCCCCGTCCCCACAGACCAGGGGGTTCTGAGCCTCCCCAGAGGAGACCGGAGGAGAGGTGCTTCCTGATCAAGGCAGACCCACCAGGGATGTGCACCCCAACATAAAGAACAGCACTATTGGGGAGCTGTCCCCTCATTGCAATCACAAGGAGAAGTGGGGGGTCAGGAGCCGCAGGTTGGACTTGGCTTAGGTCTGAGTGCCGATCCCCTCCCCCAGTCCTGCAGTCCAGCGGACAGCCTTTCGACTACTCACCCATCCGTTTCCGTGCCCGCAACGGCGAGTACATCACACTGGACACCAGCTGGTCCAGCTTCATCAACCCTTGGAGCCGGAAGATCGCCTTCATCATCGGGAGGCACAAAGTCAGGGTGTGAGTGTCCAAGGGCCCAGCGGGACCTCCTCCCACCAGCTCACGGCATGGGGCAGGGTGGCGGAGCAGGAGCCAGGGCGGGACGTGGCTCCCGGAGTCCTCGCCCTCCTGCCAGCAGCCGACAGTGCGGGGCAGGATGATGGACCCAAGGCAGGGGGTAGGGATCATCTTGGGCCACACAGCTGAGCTGGGCCCCTGGCCATGGGATGACTGTCCCGGGCAGGGGAAGGACCTCGGTTTCCGAAGTGGACTGACTGGGGGTGAGCAGTGGTCAGGGAAGTAGGGGGCAGGAAGTGGGGAGGTGGGCAACCCAGGGCTGGGGCTATAGGTGGAGAGGAGCGTCCCCGGAAGCCTGCATGGAGCCTGAAGGGCTGCTGACCCTTTGCAGGGGCCCCTTGAATGAAGACGTGTTTGCGGCCCAGCCAGGCGCGGAGGAGAAGGCCCTGCCCGCCAGCGCCCAGGAGCTAACTGCGCAGATCTACCGGCTGCTGCTGCAGGTGCGGGGCCCATGCCTGGAGCCTCCCTGGGACCGCTCCTGGGCCCCTTCCCACAGAGTCTGCTCCACACCCTGCCCTCCCTGCGGTCCAGGTCCACCCGGGTCTCCTCTGGTGGTCCCTGTACCATCCTCTGGCCAATTCTGGGCCACCCAGCATGGTCTGGTGCACCCACTGTTTGTCCTAGTTCTAGGGAGCCCAGCCCCCAACACTGGGGCTGCCTGTATTCGTGTGGTGGTAAGGGGCCCCCCAACCCCTTCCTGCCTACCCCGACCCACCTTGGTCCACGGAGCCTGGCCCAGGGGGAGGATGCCTTCACATCCAGAGAGCAGGTAGCCCTAGGGCAGCACAGAGAGTGTATGTGTTAGGAGGATTGGCACGGCCAGGCCCGAGGCCACGGCCCCCTGGGTTTCTGCTGCTTGATAGCCAGCCTCCGTGTTGCCACATCCTGGTTCGTTAAATCCGCTGGATAGAGCCCAGCGTTGAATGAGCTTGCTCATAGCTCATCTCCATGGCACCAGATACCCGGGGGTCCAGGCTCTGTGAGGTCAGGCTGGAGTATGGCTCCAGGTTCAACCCCAGCACCGCGTCGCCTCTCTGTGGGTCTCCATGGCCTTGGACCTCTGTGAAGTGGGGGTGTCGGGACAGAACTAATGGCCCCCATCCTCCCCAGCACTCCCGCCCATCCGCTTTCTCACAGCCCATGCCTCAACGTCCCACGCGTCCCCCCAGCACTCATTCCGTCATCTCTTCTGCAGCCCATGCCCCACCGTGTCCCACGGCCCCCCACCCCCCAGCACTCAGGCCCATCCTCTCCCACAGCCCGTGCCCCACAGTGTCCCACGGCCCCCCACCCCCCAGCACTCAGGCCCGTCCTCTCCCACAGCCCGTGCCCCACAGTGTCCCATAGCCCCCCGTCCCACCAGCACACAGGCCCGTCCTCTCTCCCACAGCCTGTGCCCCACAGTGGCTCGAGCGGCTATGGCAGCCTGGGCAGCAACGGGTCCCACGAGCACCTCATGAGTCAGACGTCTTCCAGCGACAGCAATGGCCCCGAGGACGCCCGCCAGAGGAGGCCTGTACGTCCCCTACCTTCCCCCATCCTTCCCAGGAGCTGGGCTGGGGCCACACTGGGAAGTCACCCTGCAGTCCCTGAGCCCCACGGAAGCTCTCACCCTGGCCCTGGGGCCACTCAGCATCTCTCACCAGGACTAGTCTGTAGCCCTCAGGGTGGAGGTGGCCAGCGACTACCGGAAAGCTTTGGATGAAAGTTCCTTAAGGCAGATAAATCAGGCGAGAGGGAAGGGTTAGGTGTGGGAAAGAGACAAGAAAACGCTTCTGGGATTTCTGTTCAGACATTGTTGAGGACATACACCGATCCAGCACTTTCTCGCACGGTTCAGTGGCGTCACACTGTCCTTCGAGTTGTGAACCACTCTCAGCATCCTTTCCTGAGCTGGTCTGTGCCCACGCACATAAACTCACTGCCTGAGCCTCCCATCTGTCCTTTCGAGTTGCTGTTGTCAAGTTGATCCCATAGAGATGGCTCTTAAAGGAACACGAGGCTCAAGGTAGACATCCTGTCTAATTAAGCTAAACTGTCATTTAGCTTGAAGAGGATGTGGGGAGAGTTTGGGTTTACGGTTTAAAGATTATATCAGGTCATTAGTTTCGGGTGTTCATCCAGCTTCAGTGGCTCCAAAAAATCTGGATTCCATGAGAATTCGACATTCTGTTCTGCATTTTCTCTCCTTTTGGTCAAGATTCAAAAGACATTTTAATATACTGATTTGGGTTTTTCTTTTTTTCATTATTATTGAGGGTCATACTGCATTCCTTCGGTCTGTCCTGCAATTAGAGTCTTGTTCAGAATTTATTTCTATGTTGCTGGGGCTATTTCAGCAATTCACCAAGAGTTACTGGTCTGTGGAAGGCCTCTTAGGGTGAATAACGTGCTTGTTTTCTTTCGGTTTCTTTAAGGAAATTTGTAAAAACGTTGTTATCAAGGCCAAAACCAAAAGCCATTGTTCTCATGAATCCGGAGAGCAGAAGCGAACACCTGTTACAGGTAAGGGACGTGTAGCACTAATTGATGAAACTGTAGGTGGGGGCGGGGAGGGGTCTGGGAGGCGGAGTTACCTGCTCATCGTTGGAGCCCTGTGCTTCAGCCCCTTCCTGGTTCCCTGGTGTATGGTGACAACATAGGCTTAGCGCAGCAGCCCGTCAGCAAACCCCACCCACTGCCATCCGGTTCAGTCCAGCTCGTGGAGGCCCGTGTGCTGCAGAGCAGAAGTGCCCCATACAGTTTTCTAGGCCTGATCTTAGCGGAGGAGCTCCTGGCTGGCACGTGTGGTTAAGTGCTCCCTACTAACCAAAAGGCCGGTGGTTCAAACCCACGCAGAGGCGCTAGCAGCCGCAGATGCTCCACGGAGCAGTTCTCTGCACAGGTGGGGCCTCCGTGACTCAGAACCAGCCCGGCAGCACCATTAGCTCCCCGGGAGCAGGTTGCCAGGGTCTGGTCGACCACGGAGACGGGCACGGTCCTGCTGGGTCCCCAGTGACAGGGTAGCTGGGAGGTGCCCCCACAGCCCCAGCGCTCCGAGTGTCACCTGTGACCCTGCCGGCTGTCCTCACTCTACAGAGGAGCCGTGTGATTTATGGGCTCAGACTGAAAACGCTCCTTAACCGTGGAGTGGCCTCCTTGGGGACAGTAAGAAACCAAAGCGCAGTCTTGTCGTTCTGACAGAACTTCACAGTCGTCCCCCAGTGAAGGCGGCCCTGGCTGTGGACCAGGAGGGCCCAGGCACCAGTGTCCCCAGAGCCACCCTCCCGGAGGAGCTGGCATACAAGGCCCAGCCCACCTGCTCCTACCAGCAGATCAGCTGTCTGGACGGTGTCATCAGGTGAGGCCGCCACCCCTCGCTGCTCACACTCTGCCACCCCGGTGCTGTGTGCACCTTGCCCACCATCTGTCTGTCTGTCTGCACAGGTACCTGGAGAGCTGCAGCGAGGCTGCCACACTGAAGAGGAAGTGCGAGTTCCCAGCCAGCGTCCCGGCCCTAAATGCCAGTGACAAGCGCAAGGCCACTGGAGGTAGCTGGCTTGTTTGAGCTGTGGAACATGTGAGGCGGTGGTCCCCCAGCCAGGAGGCAGGTGGCGTTTAGGGAGCGTGTGTGTGCCCCTTCTCCTACCTAAGCTAGCTCTGGGGGCCTCCGTCAGTGGAGTTACAGGGAGTTCACTGTCAGCTGCCTCCCTACCTGCTCAGGTGCTGGGGGATCGCAGGAGCCTTGGCCTCTGAGATCAGGCCCTACCAGGGCTGCTAGAGGCCTGGCGTCCCCTCATTTCCTCCCAAAGCTTGTCAGCCTCACTGTGTCGCCTGGGCAGCCTGCTTCCAGCGCGCCTTGGGGAGCAGTGGCCTGAGAAGGTGGGCACTCTGCGATCTGAGCGGATCCCAGGTGTGCACCACGTGGAGCTCAGTGCTCATCACTGCTGGGGTCAGAAAGTAGGGTGCCACGTTGTTGGCGGAGGAGATGGCTGGACAGTCACGCTGAGTGGACCTGTGACCTCGCCTGCAGACAGGAGGAGGACTTCTTGGGTGACGCCAGCCAGGCCGTTTGGGGCCTCCAGAATCCCTGCAGGCCTGTAGAAGGGCTGCCTGACCCTGGGCAGGGGCTCTGGTGCGAATTCCCTGCAACTACCAAGCTGCCAGGGTCCCTGAGTGGCACGAATGGTTACACCCTGGACAACTAGCCAGAAGGTTGGCGGTTCAAACCCCCCAGAGGGGCCTGGCATTCGGCTTCCCAAAGAGCACAGCCTTGGAAAACCCTGTGAGGTGCAGTCCCACTCTGACGCACGGGGGCGCTGGGAGCCGGAATGGACTCCACAGCCACTGAGGACAACCAGGCCTTGATGTCCTCCCCGAGATGTCAGGATTGAAGTGCACCATTGTCCCCTAAGGACGAGCACCGAGTTGAGGGCAGACAGCGGCCAAGGCTGCAGGTTGTGGGGGAGGGATGGCTCAGCCAGGCCCTTAGGCTTTCCCACACCGTCTGGGCCGACGGCATTTAAACCTGAACAGCCATCCACTTTGTGTTTTCTTGTCTGATTCTGTTCCTCTGTGAAGAAGCCCTGTTGAAGCCTGCCAAGGTGGACAGCCACGCTGAAGTCAGCGCTCACCTGACCTCGCTGCCGTTGCCCAGCAAAGCTGAGAGCGTGGTGTCCCTTACCAGCCAGTGCAGTTACAGCAGCACCATCGTCCACGTTGGGGACAAGAAGCCGCAGCCTGAGCTAGGTACGCTGGTGGCTTCTCAGGTGGTGTCGAGAATTATCTGGATTGAAAAATAACTCACCCAAGTCTCCCACGAAAGGACAGGGCCAGGTGGTCCCCCTGCAGCAGTAGTGAGAGTAGCGGCATCTGGAGCCCAGAGCAGATGAGGGGTTCCTGGGGGGTTGGCGAGCCTGCTCATGGTGACGGAGTTCCACAGCAGGTGCTGGTGGGGGTGCCTAGTTGTTGCACGGTGCAAGTAATGAGTCGATGCCACTAACTGGTAGTACGTGAAAAACGTTGGGTTAGCAAATGCTCTGTTACATAGGTTTCTACCACCAAAAAGAAGAAATGACTTAGCCAAAAAGAATATTTAAGTCCAGAAGCGCCCCCCCATAGCCCAGCAAATGGGGATCCAGAAATCCAGTCACAGGCCTGCAGGCTGCACCCTGTCCTGACCCCTTGTGCTTTGGCGCCACCTGGTTGTAGTTGTTCCGGCGCATATACGGAAGGGGGCGTGTGGTCCTGTACCCACCTCGGCCTGCAGGGCTGAGCAGATTCAGGGTCCCGGTTAGCTGGTGCTGAGAAAACACAGGGTGAGGGGCCCCGCTGCCTCCCCACCACCTCTTGGCTTCCCCTGATGGGGTGTGGCTTCACGCGTGTAGTCTTGTCCTGTAAGACCACTGTAACCCTCGATAGCCCACACTGCTGAGTGGGACCAGGAGGGCGTTCAGAAGCTAGGATGGGTTGTGACGAGTTCTAGCCGACAGTGTTTATGGGTTAGCGTGGAGTTTTCTGGTTCTCCCAAATGCCTGTGGTTAACACAATCCCAGAATTTGTTCTTCACTGGAACAGGGAAGTGAGGAGGGTGTGGATCCAAGGTTCAGCCCCCGCCCCCCTTTCTGTCCAGCCCATGTAGCTCCTCCTGTGTCCTATGCCATGTGCACCCCCAGTTCCACATGGTCCCAATCAGGAAAGACACATCCCATCCATTCCACCTCAGTGTGTTGTGTCGTGAGAGCTGAGGACATCTTAGGAGACCCTGCTGTGCAGCGTGAAACCCTACAGCCCCGATGTCAGTTTGCTTAGAAGACTGTTCCCAAGGCAGCTGGGTGGCCAGGCCCCTCGGGCGCTGCTCTTGGCCTGGTACTGGGTGAATTCGGTCCTCACGCTACAGCTGCCATGGAGTCATTTCACATGTACTCGTACATGCAGTCTGTATTGGCTGCTTGGTTTTATTTCTGTAAAAAAACACGTAACAGAGCACTTGCCGATTCAGCACTTTACACGTGCAGGTTGGCGACGTTGGTTATGTTCATCTAGTTGGACAGCTGTCACCACCATGCTTTAACAGATCACTCCACCACCACTAACTCAGTGCCCTAAGTAGTGCCCCCCCTCCCCTCCCTCCCATTCCCTGCAACCACCCACAGGCTTTGGTCTCCATAAAATCTTCCAAAGCCAGAACCTGTGTAGGGCAGACACCTGGCAGAGCAGGAAAATGCAAACGTTTTCCACTGACAGAGCAGTGGGAAGGAAGACTGCCTCCTGCCAAAGGCGAAGACTGACACCCAGGAAGGCCAGGCAGCCCTGTGGAGTGCCAGCCTTCCCCGGCGTCATTGCGTCTTCCTGTTCCCCCGAAGTGGGATCATGGGATATTTGTTCTTTTCGTGTAGGGATTCTGTATCGTGAAGTAAAGGAGGATGTGGGAGTTAGCCGGTCTTTGATCTCTGTTCCAGAGATGATTGAAGACGCCACGAGTGGGGCTGAGTCCCTGGATGGCCCGGCTGGCCCCACGCTCAGCTGCAGCTTGGGCCCTGAGACGGAGCCCCTTAAGAATCTGGGCCTCACCAAGGAGGTGCTGGCCGCTCATACCCAGCGGGAAGAGCAGAGCTTCCTGCACAAGTTCAAGGAGATGCGGAAGCTTGGTGTGCTGCAGTCACACTGCCACCACTACTTACAGGACAGGTCCCGGGCACAGTCACGTGAGCTGGGTAAGTGACAGCCGATGTCTGCTGACTGGGCTTTCCTTGAAACTTTGTTCCTGGGCCTGCATCCCATGCTGGTTTCAAAACATGAAACGCAAGGTGCCTGGGTGGCATGAATGGTTTGCACGTGTCTGTTCACCAGAAGGTTGGCGGTTTGAACCCACCCAGCCGCTCAGTGGCAGGATGGCCTGGTGATCTGCTCCCACAGTGATCACAGCCCAGAACACCATGTGGGGCTGCTCCATTCTGTGACCCACAGGGTCTCGTAAGTCACGGTCAACAAAGAAACAAAATAGACGGGGACACTTCACGTCCCCAGTCCAGGGAACGCTCGTCGGTGGACAGCTGTCTGACCACCACGAGAGCTGCATCTGTTTCCCTAGAACTTTCCGGCTGTGACGCTGTCTCATGGACACAGGTCATGGCCCCGAGCAGTAGAGCTCTCAGCAGTGGGAACGGCACAGGCAGCTGCCGGGCAGCCGCGTCAACGGCAAAACTACCCCCGCCTGGGTGCCCCTCCCCAGTGCAGCACCTGATCCCACTGCCCACGCAGACTAGACCCGCGGGCAGCCAGGTCGGACTCCTCCACGGGGCTGATGGGGCCTTCGGTGTCGGGTTCCAGGAGTGGGGAGGGAGCCCCCGGTTCACACCGGAGGAGGGAAGCATGCCTGTCTCCCTGGATGGCGAGCCCCTCTGCACAGCCGCCGTGGGGCTGGGCAGCAGACTCTGAAGCCAAGCACAGCCTGTCGGCTACTGAGCTGCCTTTGGACCCACTCCAGACCCCAGCTCTGCCCCACGCCCCACAGCTGGGCCCGGGCTCCAGAACAGGACCAGTGCCACTGAGCCCCAGAGGCACCTGCTCCCAAGGACCCTGGGTCCGGACAGGCCCCTCTGAAGGAACAGCTGAGAAATGAGGGGCAGCAGCCCCTAGGGGAGCTTCTGCTTCTCCCTGCCCCCCAGATCGTGCAGGACATCTGTGGGAATAAGAAGGCGCCCTCCCGCCCGAGGCCGACCCAGCCCTGCTTGCCCCCACCCTGCATTTTGTGCAGGGCACGGACTTGGCCGCTGTCCACAGCAGCCCCACCCGGACCTGGACGTGCGTCCTGGCAGCCCAGTGCCCCTGCGTGGCTGCCACGGCACCTTCCCCGTAGGAGTAACTGTAGACAGGGAGGCGGCCGACTCGGCAGCGGGCCTGGGCTGCTCACCGGCAGTGTGTCACGGGCAGGAGGTCCTCTAGGCACAGCTGAGAGGAAACACTCCCCTCTAAAGAACCCCAGGTTACTCTGCATGACATAAGAAGCAGAGCTGGGGGCTCCTGGAGCCATCCCGTTGTCCAGAGATGCTAACCCCAGTCATGGCACAACTGCCAAGCAGAGAGTCTACTCCTAGCCCCGGCCCGGCCCAGGGAGCGTCAGGGACAGTCCCTAAGTCCCTGCTCCTGGAGAAAGTGTGGGCTCCACTCGCCATCCCTACAGGAAGGGCTGGGTCTAACTACAGGGCACGTGCTCCCTTTCAGCCCCTCGGACCCCAGTTGGGGTGCGGTACAGCCTCTCTGCAGGGGAAGCAGGACCCTCTGTTTTCAAGGAACGGTAGTGAAGGGCCGTGTGGTGAGAGGAGATGCGTGATTCTGTCTTTTGGGTTTCACGAGCCAGTGCCTGTCCCCACATACTGGGGGACCACGGCCGCTGTACGGTGACGACAAGCAGGCGCTTGGTTACCCTGTGGGATTGTCGCGGGTTCACAGGGGAAGGGGCGCTGGTGGCGGGAGGCAGGGCCCTCCTGGTGTGCTGAACTCGCCCTGACTCGGCCGCCGCCCTGAGGCCCAGCAGGCCCGGTGACCCCCGGGAGCTGACGTGAGCAGGGGGCCGTCGGACGTGACCCCCGGGAGCTGACGTGAGCAGCGCTGAGCTCTGCTGCTCTTCTCTTCCAGCTGCCCTGGGACTGAGAAGCGCTTCTGGGATGCCCCCGTCGTGGAAGAAACCCGGGAGGAACAGAAAGCTTAAGCCTAAGCGGGCTCAGCCACGTGACTCCTCCGGGAGTACAGCATCCGGAGGCCTGGCCCCCACCCGCGCTCCGCTCACGGGCCTCAACACCACGGCCTGGTCGCCGTCGGACACGTCCCAGTCCAGCTGCCCCGCCACGCCCTTCCCTGGCCCTGTGTCAGCCTACTCTCTGCCCGTGTTCCCCACACCAGGGCCGGTGGCAGCAGCGCCCACCGCCCCCCAGGCTGGCTTCACAGGGCCCGTGGGCACCCAGCCTGACTTTGCAGTCCAGCCCCCGCCGTTTGCAGCCTCCCTGGCTCCAGTCATGGCGTTGGTGCTGCCTGGTTACCCCTTCCCTGCCGTGGCCCCGAACCTGCCCCAGCCCTTCTTCCCAGGCCAGACTAACTTTGTGGGGCACCCTGAGATGACCCCTGCCTCCCAGCCCACGTTCCCCGGTCGGACCCCACTCCGCACACAGCCGTGCGCCTGCCCTCCGGCAGAACACGGGCCGCCAGCATCACGTGCAGCCACTCCAGCCACCCCGTCGTCGGCCACTGGACCCGCGGGCCAGGCCTCCCCACCCCTCTTCCAGTCCCGCAGCAGCTCACCTCTGCAGCTCAACCTGCTGCAGATGGAGGAGGGGCCCGAGGGCGGCGCTGCGGCCACGGGGGCTGCAGGGACCATGGCTGCAGGGCCCAGTGCCAAGCCTGCCACTACCCGGGACCGCCCGCCGAAGGCCCAGCCAACAGTAAGGATTTCCCAGGGGGCCCAGGGCAGGCAGTGAAGTGCAGCCTGGTGCATGGAGGCTGGCCACATCGTCTCAGCTGGGCAGCTTTTATATGTACTTGGGTCTGTGTGCCCGTTCAGATTTTGGCGTGCAGGCATGCGCTCGGAATGAGTGCCTTCCAGGGAAACGGTTCTAACAGCAGACAGTCCAGGGCTTGTCGCTGTTGGTACCCAAACAAGTAGAGGCACTGGTCTGACTGTCACCGCCTTCAGGCTCCAGGTGGTAGCAGGGTCTTTGTGACCCGTTAGCATACCTACTGACAGGCCTCGAACATTGAACACATCTTGTCAGATGAAGCCCCACAGGTTACACACGAGAACTTGGCCCCTTTGAACGGCAGCAGCCGAGCAGGGGCGGCAGTGGCGGTGTGGTGAGGGCAGAGGAGGGCCCTGCAAGCTGTGTGCGTGCAGCACAGTGTGCTAGTCCAGTTCACCACACTGGCTTTGTCTCCGCTTGAACACATCTGCTGCTGAATGAGCCGAGATGTGTGGCCACATTGGCTGAAGGGGAGGTAGTAAGAACAGGAGGCTTGCAAAGAGGGAGCGACTGGGTCTGCTCTCGCCAGGGTCCTCCGGAAGGGGAGGGCACGAGCTCTCCTGGGCTGTCTGCTGCCCACGACTCCTGTTTCTGGGGTCCCAGGCCCACTTGAAGGTCCATGTTTCCAGGATCCAAGGGGAAGGGAAACCCCTGCCTAACTCCCCAGGCGGCCCCACCCGCTCTGCATCTACCACTGGGGGTGGGGGGAGTGGGGCTGCTGAAGGCATCGCGCTGACCCCATGAGGAGGGGCACACGGCAGAGGACACAGGCCTCCTGCTTCCGGTTCCGGTTTTTCCGGTTCCCAGTGGCCTTTTTGATGTTGGATTTCGTTAGCTGGCATCCGTGGGCCATAACAGCATTTCTAACTTGGTCCCAGTGACCTAATGCTCCATTCGGGTGGCGCCTTCCTCCCAGCACGGGAAGGAGGAGTAGTGCTCAACAGGAAGGCCCTTGTTAGCTCAGGTCAGCCGCCTCCGTGGCCCTGCCGCCCCCACAGCCGCCTGCCCCCTCTGTGTGCTATGCCAGAGTGGGCCCCTGTCTGAGCTCCTTCAGGCTGCCCTGGAAAGCCCCCCAAAGAGGAAGTTTCCATGGCCAGACGTTCCCTCTCGGCGTCGGGAGGCCAGGCATCCGAGCTCAGGGTGAGGCTCTGAGGGACGTGGTCCCCTGCCCCTCTGGCTTCTGGTGGCTCCTGGTGTCCTTGGCAGTGGACGCCCCACTCCAGTCCCTGCCTCCATCTTCAGCGGCCGTCTTGCCCGAGTCTCTCTCTGTAGCTGTTTTCATCTTTCATAAGAAGCATCCCATAGGATTAGGGCCTACCCTACACCAGTGTGACCTCATGTTAACCTTCAAAGACTATTTCCAGGCAGGCTCCCATTCCCAGGATCAGAAATTCAGCATGTATCTGGGGGACACGGTTCACCCTGTAGCACACCTGGTGAGCAGTGGTGTCTTCTCTCTCTCCCCACAGCTCAGTGGACCCTGTGAGGCCCAGCACAGCGATGCCCTCTCCACCTCCAGTGACCTGCTGGACCTCTTGCTGAATGAAGACCTCGGCTCTGCCACGGGCTCGGCCCTCTCTGGGAGTGGTACCTCTGCCACCTCGGATTCCCTGGGCCCCGGGTCACTGGGCTGCAGTGCCTCCCGGAGTGGGACAGGTATGTCCTGGGAGAATAGGTGTGTCTTGGAGGGTGGGTGAGTCTGGAGAATGGACTTTTCTAAAAGTGGGCACATCTAGGAGTGGGTGTGTTCAGGCTGCCCTGTCTCCAGGGGCTGCTGGGAGATTCTCTCACCACATGTCTGGGCGTCTTCAGCTTGGTCACACTCCAGGGGACATCCGTGCTCAGGGCAGAGCCTCAGGTGCAGACAGGCTGTGTGAGGTGTGACAGGTGCTGAGGCACATCCAGTGTGTGGTCTCTGAGCCCCTGGCTGTTGGGCACGGCAGACCCAGGCTGTGCCCATGGCTCCCGCAGGGGCTGCAGGTTCTTGGTCACAACGGTCTGATGCCCAGCGTCTGCCATCCGTGTAACTAGGGCCTCAGGCCCCTCGGGCTCCTGGGGATGCCCCAGGGGCCGGAAGGGTCCCTTCCCATTTGTCCCACTTGCATGACTGGGGTGTGGACGTGTTCGAGACTTTGCTGCCTGAGGTCTGTAATAGAAGAGCACACAGCAGTCTATGAATCCAAACCCCCTTCCTTCCCTAGAAATCTCAGGTGCCAGGCCCCTCAGTCCCCCTCATAGGCTCCCTCCTACACGAGGCCAATGAGCTTGGTCAGTGTCTGTCTCCCAGGGCTGCGTGCCAGGTATCGCCAGGTGTGTGGCTTAGAACACCAGGCATTTGCTGTGTCAGCTCCAGAGGCTGAGGTCTGAATGGAGGGTGTCACAGGGCCGGGCTCTCTTCCAGGGCTCTCCGGGAGGGTCCTGCTTGTCCCCCCCCCCCCCCGGGCCTTGTGGCTGCAGCAAAGCTCCATTGTCACATGGTTGTCTTCCTCTGCTTGTCACTCTGTTCTTCTCCTGTTGCGTAAGGACCCCACTCCTGTGGGATTCGGGCCCACCTATTCCAGCGTGACCTCATGTTAACTAGCAATCCATCTTCACAGACCCTATTCCCAAACAAGGCCAACATACCTTCTGGGGGGAGACCATTCACCCCTTTCTCCCAGTCCCCTGGGCTGAGCTGCTACCTGAAAGGTTGAGGGTTCGAGTCTATTCACAGTGCCTCAGAAGAAAGGTCTGGGGACCTGCTTCTGAGAAACCAGCCCCTGAGAGCCCCCTGGGCCCAGCTCTCCCCTGACGTGTGGAGCCACCATGAGGCAAAGTCGACTGCAGTCTGCATGTCCCTGACGGACTAATCATGACTGTGCTCTTCTGAGGTCTTTTAGGCAAAAGATAGTGAGTCCGAGAGGCACCCAAGGAGTCCTGGCAGTGCAGTGGTTAAAATGCTCAGTTGTGGACCACAAGGTCAGCAGTGTGTGGTTGGAACTCACCGGCCACTCCACGAAAGATGGAGCAGTCTGCTTCCATGAAGACTGACAGCCTTGGAGACCCTGGGGGCAGTTCCACTCTGTCCTCTAGGGGCGCTGTGGGTCAGAATGGACTCCACAGCAGTGGGTGTGGTTTGGGCTTTGCTTCTGTGAAGATTGACAGCCTTGGAGACCCTGTGGGGCAGTTCCACTCTGTCCTCTAGGGGCGCTGTGAGTTGGTGGCAGTGCGTTTCAGGGGCATAAAGATGACATTGTCTAAGGCCCAGCCCTGCTAGTCCTGCTCTGACTTGGTGTGTCACTCATGGAGAATCACCTCCATGGTGGCAGTTGAAGTCCTGCTTTAAAATCACCTGAGTGACTCGAATTGGAAAGAGAAGGGAAGAAGGGTTGTCAGTGCAGGCCCTCGTTACCTGACCAGATTCGTCAGCACTGTTGCGAAAACGGCAAGGAGGCCGCATATTCTGACCTCCTGTAATCCCACAAGTTGTTGTTGTTGTTATGTGCCGTCGAGTCGGACGCGACTCATAGTGACCCCTCCTTGGGTTTCCAAGGCAGTATCACTACGGAAGTAGATTGCCCCATCTTCCTTCCGAGGAGTGGCTGGTGGGTTTGAACCTCCAGCTTTCTGGTTAGCAGTCAAGTGCCTTAGCCACTATGCTACCAGAGCTCCTAATCCCACAAGAGGAAGGCAGAATCACCATCAATAGCCCAAGGCCTATTCCTGCGAGGCCAGACATGCTGCTTCCCTCCAGCCCTTTCACCAACCGTTTCTCCCGCAGCACCCACCACCTCTCTCCTGGGTTCGATAATTCACTGCAGTGGCCACACAGAACTCACAGATTATGGGGTTTATTAGGGAAGCACCACAGGCTACAATTCAGGTTTAGGTAAAATGCTCAGTCTCTCTCCCAGCCCACCGTCCCTCAGCCAACAAACAGTCTCTCACAGTCTCTTTCCCAGCAGTGTTGGTCCCTCGGTGTCTCACTCATCAATGTGTGTCTCTTGCGTCTCTTTCCCAGCAACGCGTGTCTCAGGAGCCTGGGTCTCTGTAGCACGTCTTCCTCAACCAGCAGTCAGAGTTCTGCCTCCAGGAGGCCTCCTTTTGAGCCCAGAAGGGTGGTCAAACTAGCCAATCACAGCATCAGAATTCTAAGCACCTGAGAGAGTGGGCACCTCCCAGAACATTGTTTTGTGCCACTCCCAACAGAAATACTCCAGGTGGACAACTTCAGCAATCAGGAGCTCCTCAGTTGCTCATAGAAAACCCCACCTTGGAGTTTACAAAGACTTATGGGTAGAAAAGCCCCACTAAGTAATTTACTACACCGCACCTGTCCATCTGTCATTGCCTCTCGGAAGCCCATTGTTCAGGGATTGAGCTCATAAGGCAGGGTTCTGACTGAACACACTGTGTGTTTAAAGGCAGCAGTGACACGGGTCACACCAGCAGATACTTCGGAAGCATCGACTCTTCGGAGAATAATCACAAAGCAAAGTCGGGCGTGGATGTGGGCCAGAGCGAGCACCTCATTAAGTACGTCCTGCAGGACCCCGTCTGGCTGCTGATGGCCGACACGGACGACAGCGTCATGATGACCTACCAGATGCCGGCCCGGTAAACCCCTGCTCTGGTCCTACAAATGCAGGAAGGGCTGAGTATAAATGTCCCCTAAACAACCTGGTCTTCAGGTGGAATGGGACATCCTGTGGAAGCAGGGTTCCCTCCAGATGAGCCATGTGTTCTGTGAGCGTGGTGGGATGGCCCCTGCATACTGCTGCCCTGTTAGAGGGGTGGTTGGTCCACAGATTTCGCCAGGGGCTGGCTCTCCAAGTTGACAAAGCATTTGTGCCCACACATCCCCTGAGCTCTGTTGCCTGGGAGCGCTGCAGGGTAAGGGGTAGAAGAACAGTGTTCAGGGTCGAGGTGGTAGCTGACCCACGGCCACCACATCCGGCTGCTTTAGCAAAGAAGACATGGTCCTGGCCCCTGCAGAACACCCCTCGGTAGGGGAAGCTGGGGTGAAGGAAGGAAGGATTAACTCCCAAAACTGAAAAAGCCGGGCTCCAGGCCAGGGGAGGTGGGGCTTGCCTCAGAGTGGCTGCCACCTGGCCTGGCACTGGCCCAGTTGCCTCAGAGTGGCCACTGTCTGTCCCAGGGGCCTCAGAGTGGCCGCCACCTGGCCCGGCACTGGCCCAGTGGCCTTGGAATGGCCACTGTCTGTCCCAGGGGCCTCAGAGTGGCTGCCACCTGGCCCAGCACTGGACCTCTGGCAAGGGAAGATTATTTTACCCACTATGTCTGCAGCAGGGATCTCCCAGATGGGCAATGCCCACGGCAAGCCAGAGGTCCCTGAATAGTGCGGGTGGTTTGGGCTGAGCCACTAACCAAAAGGCTGGCAGTTCGGATCCACATGGAAACTCCATGAATGTGTCTGCTTCTGTAAAGATGATAGCTACGAGAATTCTGTGGACCCAAGTCTGTCCTGTAACGTGTGTGGTTGCTGTGAGTCATGGTCGACTCAACAGCGACAGGTTTGATTTGGGAAGTTTTTGGTGGTGAACCAAGGAGTCCCTGGGTGGTGTAAATGAAACAGTGAATGCACTTGCTTGCAAACCAAAAGGTTAGAGGTGCAAGTCCACCCAGAGACGTCTTGGAGGAAGACTTGGTGATCTGCTTCCTAAAACTCAGCCATTGACAGCCCTGGGGAGCACAGTGCCGCACTGACGCCCGCGGGGTTGCCCTGAGGCGGAGCTGACTCGGGTGTGGTGATGCTGGACTGAGCCTGGGGGCCGGGGGCCTTCTGCTGACGCCCAGCGCACAGGCCTGATCCAGTAAAAGTCAGATCATGGTGCAGGTCGTCAAACAGCAGCTACATAGGACATACTGGAAAGATTAAGTTACCTTACCCTGGGCGATTATTTTAATGCGAAAGAAATTGGCATTAAACAAAATCCTCAAAAACTATTATGAGTGTCAAAAGATTTGGTAGAAAATAAGTGGATTTATTTTAAAAAGATAGAAAACCTCCTAAAACACTCTGAAGCTTACCTGTCATTAAATAAATTACTTTGTGCAGGAACCTGGACATGGTTCTGAAGGAGGACAGGGAGAGGCTCAAAGCACTGCAGAGGTTCCAGCCCCAGTTCACGGAAGCCCAGAAGCAGGAACTCCGTGAGGTCCACCCCTGGATGCAGGCCGGCGGCCTGCCTGCAGCCATGGACGTGCAGGTGTGTGTGCTGGAGCCGTGGGCATGCGGGTGTGTGTGCTACAGCCGTGGACGTGCAGGTGTGTGTGCTAAAGCCATGGACGTGCAGATGTGTGTGCTGGAGCTGCGGGCATGCGGGTGTGTGTGCTACAGCCGTGGACGTGCAGGTGTGTATGCTAAAGCCATGGACGTGCAGGTGTGTGTGCTAAAACCCTTCTGAGCTCAAAGGTCACCGCCCCAGGAGCACTCTGCCTGTGCAGCGTCCCTGGGCGTCTGGGAACAGTGCCACCACGCGTCTGTGTGTGTGTCGGACTCTGGTGGCTTGTGTGTTGCTGTGATGCTAGAAGCTATGCCGCTGGTATGTCAAATACCAGCAGGGTCACCCATGGTGACTAGGTTCCAGTGGCACTTCCAGACTAAGACTAGGAAGAAGGATGTGGCAAAGTCCAGTTCTGAAAACCATTGGCCACTGAGAACCTTAGGAATATCACAGAACATTGATCCAGTGGGGTAAAAAGAGCCCTGTGGTTGGAAGCGCTCAGAACAGCACCGGGGAGGGCTGCCTCCCAGCAGAGTCGGCCGCAGTGATGAGCATGGACTCGGGTTTTCAAGGCCTTTGTTTGCTGATGGGCACGACTCAGAGTGGGAAAAAGCAGCTGCAAACATCCATTAATGATCAGGAGGTGGAGTGTACCAAGTGTGAATCTAGTAGAGTTGGAAGCTGTCAGAATGAAATGGAAGGCATAAAGATTGATACCCTGGGCATTAGTGAGCTGACATGGGCTAGCACTGGCTGTTTTGAACTGGGTGATCATGGTCTACTGTGCCAGGAATGACAGCATAAAGAGGAACAGAATCACACTCATTGTCAGAAAGAATGTTTCAAAGCCTATCCTGAAGTACAACGCTGTCAATGATAGGATAATATCCATACACCTACAAGAAAGACCAGTTAACACTACTGAAGCCAAACATGAAGAAATTGGAGATTCTTATGAACTTCTGCAGTCTTAAACTGACCAAACATGCAATCAAGATGTATCGATCATCACTGGTGATCGGAATCCAAACGCTGGAAAGAAGGAAGGAACAGTAGCTGGAAAATAGGGCCTTGCTGATAGAAGTAACACTGGAGATCATGTGATAGAATTTTGCACAACCAGCGACTTATTGATTGCAAATGTCTTCTTTAAACGACATAAATAGTGACTACACACGTGGACCATGCCAGATGGAAATCAAAAAAGAAAACATGAAGAACTGTGTCAGTAGGAAGAGATGACGGAGATGCTTAGTGTCATCATCAGAAGAAGGCCAGGGGCCGACTGTGGAACAGACCATCAACTGCTCCCATACAAGTTCAGGTTGAAGCTGAAGACAATTAAAAGTCCATGAAAGCCAAACTATGACCTTTATCCCATCTGACTTTAGAGACCATCTGAAGACTAGGTTTGACACATTGAACACCAGGGACCGACAATCAGAGGAACTGTGGGATGACAGTAAGAACATCATCCATGAAGAAAGCAAAGGTCATTAAAAAGACAAAGGGAAGAAAAGATCAAAAGGGGTGTCAGAAGAGACTTTGAACTTGCCCTTGAGAGGAGAGTAGCTAAGGCAAAGGGAAGACATGACAAGATAAAAGAGCTGAACAGATTTCAAAGAGCAGCTCGAGAAGACACAGTCAGTTATTACAATGAAATGCGCAAGGACCTAAAGTTAGAAAAACAGAAGAACACATTCAGCATTTCCCAAGCTGAAAGAACTGAGGAAAAAATCCAAGCCTTGAATTCCAATACTGAAAGATTCTATGGGCAAAATATGGAATGATTCAGGCAACATTGAAAGAGGACGGAAGGCGTGCAGAGTGACGGCGCCAAAAAGAGCTGGTCGGTGTTCATCCAGTTCAGGAGGCGGCACACAATCAAGAACCGGCGGTACTGAAGGAAGAAGTCAAAGCTTCACTGAAGGGACTGGTGAAAAACAAGGCTCCAGGAATTGACATTTCAATAAATGGATGCCGTGCTGGAGGCACTTACTTGCCTGTGCCAAGAGATTTGGAAGACAGCTACCTGGCCAAGTGATTGGAAGAGATCCATATTGGTACCCATTCCAAAGAAAGGTGATCTCACAGAATGTGGAAATTATCGAACAGTATCATTAATATCCGTGGTGGTTGTGTTTGTGTGTCAGCTTGGCTGAGCCTGGTTGAGTGGCTGGGCAGCTGGTGGTAGTTATTCCCCATGATGAGACTGGCAGTCAGCTCCATGGTGGGATCCACCACAGGCAGCTGAGTAGCTGGGTTGGCTATGTGGTCTGCTACCTGTATATAAGAAGCAGCTTTGGGAATGGTCTCTAGCCTGTGGCACACTTGGACCCTGCATGGAGCTGTGTCGTTGCTCAGCAGCCTACTATGCTCTGCTGACCTTGGGACTTACAGTGGACTTAAGTTAATAGCCTGCCCTGTGGTTTGGTAACATTGGGACTGTGCCTTTTTCCTTGTCAACCTTGGGGCTTCTCAGCCTCAGCAGCCAGCAGCTGTCTGAGTGAAGAAACGCCTCTAGTTCCAGTGGGCCGGGAGCAGGAGGCAGAGCTGGACCGTAAGGTGGTGGCGCTTTCACCCAGCCCCTAGAGCCTGGCACTTTGAACTTGGACTTAAAGCCTCCAAATTGTAAGAATAAACTCCTGTTTGTTAAGGCCGTCCCATTAGTGGTATATTTTTGTCAGAGAGGCACTAGGTAACCAGAACAATATCACACTCAAGTAAAATCTTACTGAAGATAATTCAAAAATAGTGACAGTGGTATATTGACAGGGAGCTTCTAGAAATGCAAGCTGAATTCAGAAGGGGATGTGGAATGAGGGATATCATTGCTGATGTCAGATCGATCTTGACTGAAAGCAAAGAATACCAGGAAGATGGTTACTTGTATTTTATTGACTATGCAAAAGCGTTTGACTGTGTGGATCGTAACACATTGTGGACAACACTGAGAAGAATGGGAATTAAGAACACTTAATTGTACTCATGAGGAACCTTTACATAGACCAGGAGGCTGTCGTTCAAACAGAACAAGGGGAGACCGTGTGCTTTAAAGTCAGGAAGAGAGGGTGTCAGGGTTGTAGGCTTTCGCCACACTTATTCAATCTGTGTGCTGAGCATATAATCTGAGAAGCTGGATCACATGAAGAACACAGCATCAGGTTTGGAGAAAGAATCATTAACAACCTGCAATATGCAGACAACACCACCTTGCTTGCTGAAAGGAGGATGACTTGAAGCACTTATTAATGAAGATTAAAGACTACAGTCTGCAGTGTGGTTTACATCTCAACATAAAGAAAACAAAAATCCTCACAACTGGACCAATAGGCAGCATCACGATAAATGGAGAAGATTGAAGTTGTCAAGGATTTCATTTTAGTTGGATCCACAATCAGTGCCTGTGGAAGCAACAGTCAAGAAGTCAGATGACGTATTGTACCAGGCAGATCCGTGAAGGCCTCCGTAAAGTGTTGAAGAGCAAGGATGTTTCTTTGAGCTGCAAGGTGCGTCTGACCCAAGCCGGGGTATTTGCAGTCACCTGATACGCACGTGAGAGTAAGGAAAACCACAGAACGAAGAGATCTGTCTTGGAAGAGGTATGGCTGAAATACTCCTTAAAAGTGAAAGTGGCCAGACTTTGTGTTTCATACTTTGGTCATGTTGTTGGAAGGGCCCAGTCCCTGGAGAAGGACGTCGTGCTTGGTAAAGTAAAGGATCAGCCAAAGAGGAGAAGGCCCTCAACAGGCTGCACTGACACGGTGGCTGCCATGATACGGTGCCTGCCATGATACGGTGCCTGCCATGATACAGTGGCTGCCATGATGGGCTCGACAGGCTGCGCTGACACGGGGGCTGCGACGTTGGGCTCCAGCGTGGCAACAGTTGTGAGGATGGCACAGGACCTGGCAGAGTCGTTCTGTTGGACATGGGGTCACTGTGTGTTGGAGCTGACTCAGTGGTACCTAACAACAACATAAATTCTAAAGTTAAAACATTTATTTTTTTAAAAAAGGTACTGCATCATTAACTGTTAAGTGTACTTCAAAAAACTTTCAGATTAATTTTTAACTGCAAAAAGGACATGGAGGCAGCATCTTCTGACCTCTAACTTCACAAGAGTCACCATTAACAACCCAAGGCTTATACCCATGAGGCCAGACGTGCACCACCCTCCAGCCTTTCTACCGGTTCTGACACCACCCGTCCCTCCCACAGCACTCACTGCTTCTCTGCAGGGTTCAGTTATTCGATTAGGACAGTCTCCCCTCTGCTGTGCCCTCAGACCCACCTCTGTGGCCTTGGCTTCTCCGCCTGGCCTCTGCTCTGCTCGGGCAAGTGTCACAAAGCTCTTTTAGTTTTGCCAAGAGAGGCACCTGTGTGCAACCCCCTCCACCACCAAGCCTCCTGCTCAAAGGCACTCAGCTTTCTTGCTCTGAGGGCCGGCAAGCCTGCCTTTCTGTCTTGTGCTTCTTGGTTCCTCAGCCGGTCCTCTCTGCTGGCTCTCTGTCAAGGAGGTCATTAACGACCTGCACAGGGATCTCAGGTCCGAGGACCCACTCCACTCCACCTCTGGGTCTTCTCTCTTGATGGCAGTGAGATCCCCCCTTCTGCCTCTAGGAGGGCTCATTGAAGCCTAGCAGAGTGACAAAACTAACCAGTCCCCACGTGCCACTTCCATGAGCCTTATTTGCATGGTCCCACCCGGTAATCTGGCAGGAGTCACAAAGCCTGGCTGGACAAACCGCACCTAGTAGCTCACCGCACTGCATCAACGCCGCTTCCAAAGAGATTCTAGACATCTAATCTCCGTCGCTTGCTAGAGTCTGAATTATTTTCTTCTTTCTTCCAGTTACTCTCTGTTTAAAAAAATAGCAAACCAGACAGAACACCCCTCCTGCGTAAAGCCTCAGTACACAGGGGGACAGAATTTGATGGGAATTTTCGCAGCCACGCAGGCTTGTATGGGGCACACGGTGCCCACTCTGTGGTGCCCTCTCAGCCCTCACCCCTGCACGGTGACCCATGCCCCATCTGACCACAGACCCTTCTGTCCCCCAGTAGCTCTTCCTGCTCTTTCCTGGGCCCAACCAGGCAGCTTCGACAGCTTTCTTAGTCATCTAGTGCTGCTCTAATGGAAACACCACAAGAGGGTGGCTTTGACAAACAGAAGTGTATTTTCTCACAGTTTAGGAGTCGAGAAGAGCAAATTTAGAGCGCTGGCATTGGGGGAAGTGCTGCTCTCTGATCTCCATGTGGCCTGGCAGCTCTGTTCCCCTGTCTCTGCCTGCTGCTTTCTTGTTTAATCTGCTCTTCTATACCTTGAAAGAGACCGATTGGAGACACCCCCTACACACATTACCTCGTTCACACGACAGAGAGAACCATTCCCCGGTGGGATTCTGACCACAGGGAGAGGGGCTGGGGTTTCTACCTCGTGTTTCCCCATACCATCATCTCCCACTCCACGTCCCCTTCCTCTCTCCTCCCAGCTACAAGGCCTGGATTCCCTGGGCAGGCTGATGCCCCAGGGCCTTAGCACTTGACCTTCTCTCATCATGGCCTCTCCTCGGGTATATGCCCACGACTCCCTCTGGCTTCCTTCCAACCTCTTGTCACATGACCCTGTATTTATCTATCGTTGCACAGCAAATCGCCCCAGAACTGAGTGGCTGTAAGCAGTAAGCGTTTCACCTCACACAGTTCCTTTGGGTCTGGGTTTGCGAGCAGCTTCTCTGGGTGGTTCTGGCTCAGGTCTCAGGCTGTCATCAGGATGTTGGCCTCTGCCGTCGGACATTTGGAAGCGGAGCTTTCAGCGCGGCCCAGTCCCATGCCTTTCAGGCAGCACTGGCTGTTGGCAGGAGGCCTCAGGACTGGCTTCGTGGGCCTCTCCCTAGTGCTGCTTGAGTGTCCTTGTGACGTGGCAGAGTCTTTTCTCAGAGTGGTAACTCCAAGAGAATAGGGCCTTTTATGTCTCAGGAGCCACTCACTGCCCCTTCCACCACATTCTCTTGGTTAGGACCGAGCCACTGGGCCCCGCCTCACGTGCGGGGGGAGAGGCGTGCGGCCGCAGCTGTTGAGGGAGGAGTGTTGAAGTTCTTCATCCATGGACGCACCTAGTATCCACTGCAGTCACCTTCTCGGTGGCCTTTCCTGAAGGGCCGCTTCCTCCACACACACACCATGTACCCTGAAGGTCCACGTAAAATGGTGGCCCTCACACATGCGTGCTTGCACGTACACACCCAGGAGCGCACACACACACATGTGCGTGCACACACGCTCCATTCTACCTTTGCTCTGTCAGCAGTGCTGATGTCTCTGGGGTTCTGTGGCCTCCTTGTTCCTTGTTCATTTTATTGCCCCCTCCCCCACTGGGATGTAGCTCCCAGGGGCAGGGCCGTGTCTGTCTTACTCGCTGTTGACCCCCCAGTGCTTAGCACCACAACAGGAACTCAACAGACATGGAGCGGCCCCAGTGAGAAGGTGCGTTACTGTCCCATTTCACAGATTGGAAGACAGGTTCAGGGCAGGCAGGTAACTTACTCCAGGTCCCAGTGGCAGAAAGTGGGGGAGCTGGGAATGAAGCCTAGGCCTGCTGGCTGGCTTTGGGGGACTCGGGGTGCTGGGCCCCTTGGGGATGGCTCTGGCCCCTGTGGGAGCCAGCAGACCCAGAAACACCTCCGATGGAGGCTGCCCCACTCCTAGGCACTCTGCCAGCCGCCTGCCTGCTAGCAGGCTAACGTGTGGTCACTCGTGGCCTCAGGTTGCCTCAGGTTGGACTGTTTCTATGTACTAAAGGTCTCATGTCTGTTGTCTGTTCTCCGTTTTCCTTGAAGGAATGTGTTTACTGTGAAAACAAGGGAAAAGGCAGCATTTGTGTCCCATACGAGGAAGAGGTTCAAGACGTCTCTGTGCTGGGCCCCAGCACAGTCACGGACACCAACGAGGGAGGAAGTGGACCCCCCTGAGTCCAGAGAGAGAAGAGCACACGCGGCCCCTCCTTGGAGCCCAGTGACCAACCTTGGAGAGGCTGGGAGAGAGGAGACACTGGGGTTCATTTCTGGCGAAACGGACAGATGGACTTACATGACTTTTCTGTTTTAGAAAAAAAAAGTATTTATCTGAAAGGGTGATTTAAGATGGGAGTAGGAGGGTTTGGGAAGAAATGTGTTGTTTTCTGTAATTCCTAAATAGGAAGACCTGAGGGGCAGGGAGGAGATTGGTTCTTGAACTTGGACTCTGGCACACCTCCTTAGAAGCCTGCAGGGAGTTGCCACGGCGTGCACAGCCGTCCCCTGACCCGTGGATTATCCAGTCTCAGGGCACGTATGACCAGTGGTCAGGATGCCACATGTACGGGGCTTCTGGAACCTTCTGGGGCAAGTTTGCACCGGGGTCTGTCAGCATCACGGAAGTCCTCAGATCAGATTGTGCCCCTCTCCCAAGCTGCTTTTTATCTAAGTTATCATTTTGTCAGAGTTAACAGGCAGAGTGCCCAGTAAACAAGATAAGCCCAGGCTTGCTGACTGATCTCTAGTGAGCCGTGTGACACTGCTCACTGCAGATGAGTAAGCACGGGTAAATCCATGCTTCCTTGTTGACTGGGCACTCGGTCCCTGTCAGGGATTCAGTGTCGGAAAGGAGGCTTTGATTCCGTGGGCGGTGCCAGCCAGACCTGGAAGCCGAAACTGTGATGTGGTGGGAAATGTGAAAGTGGTCACCACAGATGAGTAGCACAAGCCAGCCCATGCTTAGCTTGCTTCCTGGGTAATCCACCCTGGTCAGACACAGGTGGCGCTCTCAGCCTCTTCCTGTTGCCTTTCACCAGGTGTGGTGGTTACCCGGCAACCAGTAGCCCCGGTGTCCAGAGCTGTGGTGCTCAGCATTTCCACGTGATGTGGTCTGTTGATTGACGGCGAAGTTGACATGCTTGCTCTGGGTTGAGAGGGCCATTGGTTTGTGTGACCAGCTCCATGAGTAAGGTACCTCTACACCATCTGGATAGTTCTTCGTCCGTGAGTCCATCTCGGCCAGCGCGGCCAGTGTGTGGTCAGTCACCTCGGAGGAGGACTTCCTGTGCAAAAGAGACACGTGTGGAGGGAGTAACTCCCAAGTGGTCTGCTTCTGCCACGGCCTCACGGACGTGGCTGTGACCAAGCCAAGGGCCATGCCACATGAGCCACTACAGCAGTTTCCAACTGTGCTGCATTTCTGGGGTGCAGTGAGCTCCCCCACTTTTTCACAAGCCCAGCCTTGCCGATGCAGCAGGTTGCTGCCAGCCGGCGTCCACCGGTGCCACGGTCACTTCAGGTCATTCCGACATTGGGGGAGACAGACCACACACCCCAATTTTTCTTCATTGTGATTTGGGTGAAAGCCCTTTTTTTTTTTTTTCTTTTCCACAACCTCATTTTGCATCCTTTATCCCAAAGATGGTGAGTAAAATGTCTGGTGTCTGAGAAGTGCTTGCCATGGCCCGGTTGGCCCGAAATGGCACCAGGTCCGCAAACGCTCGAGGAAGCAGGGCTTGGCCTTGTTGTTCAGTGCCCCCACGGCCACAGTGAGACAGGCCGTGTGCCCTGCCGACCCAGTTGGCTCCTAGTCCAGCCATCTGAATTTGAACCCCTGTTTTCATAAACTCAAACACAAGAACACGCTTTATTTATTTATTTATTTTGGTTTACAAAGTAACATCCCCTCCGATGCCAGGGGTGTGGTAGCAGCGTGTGCTTCTGTGGAAACTAGATGCCACCACCAGCGCCTGCCTCTGACCAGGTGGTCACAGTTGTGGCACCTAAACACGAAACTGCCGCAACGCTCTCCCCGCACCATTGCAAACGTTCGTCTTCAGCCCGACTCCGCTCGTTGATGTTTGTGCATCGCTGGACTGTTGAGCTGCGTAGCTTCGGTGTGTGCTGGACCACTGGCTGAATAGAAGCGTTTTGTGACCCTGTTGACACGGCCCCGAGCACCGTACCATCTGTTCTCTTCAGTCTGTGCGCTTACACGGGTGTTGGACGAATCTCTCCGTTTCAAACTGAGCCTCCTTTGAAGACATTTCTAAAGAGAAACGTCAGTGCACGCTCGGCGGCGGAGAGGGAGGTTCTGAGCCTGGACGGACAGGTGGTTTGTTCCCACGCGAACTGAGCTTTCCGCCCGCAGTGCAATATGTTTGTCTGGCTGCTTGTGTCTTTTTATGACTTTTTTGCCTTTTAGAATATTGGTAAATAAAGCGAGTCTATTTTTAGCTGTGTGTCCTGTGTGTGGAGCAGAGCTGCTGCAGAGGCTTTTCAGGGCTGGGACCTTTTGGGAGCAGATGGCCAGGCCGGTGTTCCTCGGCACGTCTGAGTGGGTCTGAACGCCAGCCTCTGGGCTGGTAGTCAGGCACCTCACTGTTTGCCCACCCTGAGTCATCCAGGGGAAAACCTGAATAGAAGTGGAGAGAGGCCTCTTCAAGTGCAGAACCCTGGTCATCCTACGTGCCGGAACCTTCCACCCCAGAGGCCCTTTACCGCCGCCTTGTTTTGTGCGGTTCACTTTTGCTGGGCCCCCTGGCTCTGTGTGTGTGTGTCATACAACACAGCAGCCCAGTGGCTTCATAAAATGCAAATCGACTCCTGTAATCAGGGTGGTCTGCAGTCTCAGCCTGCAAATGGAGGGGTGTGGTTGCCTGGCTCAGCCCCCTGCACTCCCCCAACTCTGGTGACCCCAGGTACCATGGCTGTTCCCTCGGTGTCCTATTGCACTGCTGAGCTGCCTGGGCCGGCTGCCTGTGTGCAGGCCACGGGGCTGAAGGCGTCCGCATCAGAAAAGTCTCTCTGTCCCACCGGGGAAGATGTGGGCAGTGCAGCAGAATCCTTTCTGAGGACAGAGATGGGGTGGAGCCTTGGGGCCCAGCCTGCACAGTGGAGGTCAGTTCCTGTCTCCCTCACTTTGCAAACCAGGACCCTAGGATCTGAGCAGGCAGGTGGGCGGGTCCTGGACCCAGTGCCAGCCTCCCAGAAGCACCTCTGCAAGGTGTGGAGAGGGGCAGGGGGACTCCACTCAGCTTCCAGGCCTGATTGTCTAAATCCCACTGCTGAGTGAACCGAGTCCTCTGAGCTCAGGGCCTCCTGCGGACCAGCCCTGAGGGGCCAGATGTGGCTGTTGCCCTGGCTTTCTGAGTCCCTCAGGGGACTGCATTTTTGTTTATTTTTTATGTATAAACCCAGCAGTGCCCCCACCCTCCTCTATTCCAAATCAAAAGGAGCTCCGGGCAGATTGCCCACTGCCCACAGGGCTGGGCTGGCTGCGGCCTTTGTTCTCCCAGGATTTATGACCTGCCACCCCTGCTGCTAACTGGTCCCAGTGGCCCTGCCCAGCCTTGACGGCCTCTGTCCTGGATCTGGGGGATCAAAGGGCCACAGTGCTCAGGAAGTCTGGGCGCCAACCACCTTTGAAGGCAGGCTCTGTCCAAGGGACAAATGGCAGGAAGTGGGTCCACTAGGAGAGGCCTCTCCAGGGAGGGCAGAGGGCTGGTGGCCCCAAGATGGGGTAGCCAGGCTCTGCAGAGGGAAAGTCCGAAGTAGCTGGCCAGCAGGAAATAGGCCCCAACGGAGGACGTGGCTGACTTCAGCCCTGTGATTCTTTCCCATTGACCACACTGAGACGTGTCCCAGCACTTCACCTGTCCTCCCCTCAACTCCAGCCACTTTCCCCAAACCTAAGATGAAGCTCCCGAGTTCCCTGGCCATCCCTGCGGCCTCCTCCTCTCCCCAACCCGGCTGCCTCTCCTTTAAGTGTTGTCCAGGTCAGCTTCACATTATGCTCTGTGACCACAACAAAGCCTCCTTCGCTTTCTCTCCAGATGGTTCGAAAGGTAGAAACCCTGTGAGCAGCCACATGCTGTTGTCAGCGTGAGAGGATCCAAGGGGCGCTAAGATGACATTTCCTTTCCTGTGTAGCCTTTTGTTTTTCCTGGAGTTCCTAGTTGCCTTTCATTTTCTGTCTGCACTGCCTGCCTTTATCACCTCCTGCTCCTCCATTCCCACACTGAGTTCCCCACTAAAGCAGGTGGTCTCTTGGTCTCTTCCTGGAGGCCCCCCCCCCCGGCCCTAATCACCCTGCTTCCCTATACTTTTCTCAAAGTGGTGGCAACTGAATCTCAGTCACCAGTTGACCTCCTTCAGTGGGACTATGTCTAAGTCCCAGTGAAGGAGGTAAAGTCACAGCCAGCTATGGGTCCCCCACTCCAGGGCCCACCTGGTCAACCCCAATAATGAGAGTGTTGGGGGTGGGTCACTGGGGTTTCTGAGCAGCTAGTGCAGAGTGACTGCTGGGCTTTCTGGCTTGTCAGGGAGACTGAGGATAACAGGACGTGAGTGGAGAAAGTTCATACATGGAACCCCGGAGCAACCAAAGCAGAGCTGGGACAGGTGCACCTCAGCAGAAAGGGCTGCCAGGTGGTTGTGGAAGACAGTGGCGTTTTCAGACTTCTCAAGCTTGGCTTGCCTGAAGCCTGTGAGTGCCTCTCTGTCTGGGCACTGGAGGTGGAAGGGCCATGGGAGGGCTGCCAGCCCCAAAGGGGAGGGCATTTGATGCCACCATTCCTGCTCAGGATTGTTACCCTTCCCCGGGTCTAGCCTCCTCCCTTCCCTATCCCTTCAAAGCTTCTGGGCCAGGCTTTGAGCTGGGGGCACAGGAGGCCAGGGAAGGGGACCTGGGGTCAGACGTGGTGCCCCTGACCAGGGACTCCCAGCCCCGGTGGTGGTGGGGACCGGGTGGGAACTCCGCACTGGCTGCCCCTCCCGGATGGCGGCCGAGAGGGAGGCACGGACCTGAGCCGCTAGGAGGCGCCTCTGGAAAGGGATCGCGGGTGACCAGAGAGGGGCGCTCCGCGCGCAGAGGCCTGGCGGCGGCGGGCGGTGCACTCGCGTCCAGGCAGCGCCCCGAGGCTGGGAGTGCTGGCGGCGGGGTCCCGGGGCGCTGGCCGAGGCACCGCTCGCCCGTAGTCGCGCACCCAGGGCCCGCGCCCGGCACGGCTGGGCGGCAGATGGGCGGCCCGGGCGGGGCTCGAGCGTCTGGAGCGCCCGCCGCGGCCCGCGCGGACAAAGCCGACCCGGACAAAGGCGCGGCCAGCACCTGTCGCTCTTGGCGCGGCCACCGCTTTTCTCCGCCGAGTTGGCTGCAGCTGCCAACTGTCACGGGCATCGAGTTACCGCGGGGCCGGGTGGGGGGCGGGGGCGCGGGAGGGGCGAGAGCGGGGCCCAGGCGGCGGAGGGAACCGCCGGGGATGGGGAGCCACGGGGGCCGGGGGCCCGTGAGCGGGTGACCAGAGGGCCCGGAGCCAGGAGAGGGCGTCCGGCGGAGGGCGGCTCCCCTTCAGTTCGAGCCCGGGGTCGGGACTCTCGAGCCTGTGGGAAAAGGACCCGGGGCTCCTCAGCCACTCAGACGAGGACCCGAAGCCCCTCCGGGACCCTGGCCCCTGGAACCCGGGCGCAGGGCGCTCCTCTGGCCAAGGGCGCGTGAAAAAGCGGGCGAATGAATGAATGAGAGAATGAATGAATGGCCCGTGAGTGACTGCGCCCCTGCTCGCAGGCACTGCAGACTAGGGGTCCGTGCTCATTGCAGCTGGAGGACCAGAGACCAGCGCGCCCGGGGGCTCGCTCTAGGGTCTCCGCTCCTCTGGGACCGCCCCCGGAGGGGTCGCCCCGAGGCCGCTTGGGCCCGCCCTCGGCCACGCCCCGCCAGCTGCCGGCGGCCAGGGCTGCGGAGTCGGACAAAGCGCGCTGCTGCCATTGGCCCGCGCGCCCTCGCGGCTGGCCGCTCCGGACAGGTGCAGCCAATCAGTGCATTGAGATGCAAATAAGACGCTATAAAAGGGGCGGGGCGGCCGCGTCTGGAGACTCGAGGGAGGTGGGCGGCGGCCGGGGGAACCCGGGGAGCCGCAGGCTGTGGGCGCCGGGCCCCGAGGCAGGGCTGGCCGTCATGGCTCCCTCCCTGGGGCTCTGCCGGGGCCGCGCGGGCCGGGAGGACGAGCACAGCTGGGAGGCGCGGGGGGACCGCAAGGTGCAGGCTGCGGGGCCGCGGGCGGGC